GAAGGGAGGGGGGAGGGAAGGAGGGAGGGAGTAAGGGAGGAAAAGCTGGTTGTTGCGTAGCATGCTTATATCTCAGCAGTGGAGAAGCTGAGACAGGTGACTACCTGAGACACGCTGGCCAGCCACACTAACCTAGTCAGTGAGAGATCGCATCTCAGAAAACAAAATAGACAGACACTGGGATGATAATACAAACACATAAATATAAGAAGTGTGCATTAAAGAGAATAAACAATACCTCCAAGAAGTCTGGGACACATTCAAGAGGCTAAACCTGAGAATTTACAGGATAAATGGAGCAGAGGTAAAACTGAATGGAATAGACAAGATTATTCATTGGCACTGGTGAGAGGGGTGGCTACTACACAGAAGAAGAAGAAAGAAGAAAGAAGGAGGAGGAGGTGGAGGAAGAGGAGGAGGAAGAAGAAAAGAAGAAGAAAAAGAAGGAAGAAGAAGAAAAAAAGAAGAAAAAGAAAAGAAATTATCACAGAAAGTTTTCCAAATTTACAGGAAGTAGGCTTCCAGACACAAAAGGCATACACAACTTCAAAAAGACACAACCAGAAAGGAACTCCCCATGACATACTACAGTGAGAGTGTCAAAATACAAGGTAAAGAAATGATTCCAAAAGCAGCACAAGAAAAATGTCAGCGCAAAGGCAGGAATATCAGAATTATCTCAGACACTCATCAGCAACTATAAGAGCCATTAGAACATGGAGTAAAATATCTCAAGCTCTGAAAGGAAACAACTGTAACTGAGAATGCCTGCCAACTAGCTCTCAAAACTGATGGAGAAATAAAGCAATTCATGATGGCCACTCCATCACTACAGAAAGTTGGTGGGATACTTTACAAGAAGGAAGACAAAAGGTAGCAGTGGTGATGCATGCCTTTAAGGCAGGTGTGCAGCATGAATTCATAAAAGACCCCAGAGACTGGTATTGGGGTTCAAGCTTCAAGCAAAGCAGCCAAGCCAGTAGATCTTACCTCTACCTAGGCTGAACTGGCAATCTTGTCCTCACAATTCCTCAGAAGCAAAAGGCTCTCAGATCCTGTCTCATCCTCCTTATATTCTTTTCTCTGCCCAGCCATTTCACTCCTGTCACCACAGGTGGATCTCTGAGTTTGAGGCCAGCTTGATCTACAAAGCAAGTTCCAGAATGGCCAGGGCTACACAGAGAAACCCTGTCTCGAAACAAAAAACAAAAATAACCTAACTACACATAAACAAACTAGACTGGGGGAAGAAACAACCATGTCCAACACAGCAACTTAGCAAATTCTCAGAACTAACATAGCACATGTAACACATACATAAGAAACAGAAAACCCCTTTCCATAGCCACCTTAGTGTAAGTGGCCTAAACTCACCACTAACATGATAGCTGGAAAACCAGCATAGGACTGACCTACTAAATTCTATCAAGCTTCCAAGGAAGACCTCACACCAATTCTTAACTTGTTCCATAAGACAGAAATTGAAGAAAAACTACCAAATTCATTCTACAAAGCCAGTATCGTCTAATACCAAGACCAGGTAAAGACACACACACACACACACACACACACACACACACACACACACACACACACACACACACCAGACCTACTTCCTCAATGAACATAGACGGAAACATTCTGAAGAAATGACTTACAAACTGAATTCAGGAATACATTTAAAGAATTATACATCAATAGGCATAGTCGTGCATACCTTTAAACTCAGCATTCAGGAGGCAGATGCTGGTGGATCTCCCTGAGTTCAAGGCTAGCCTGGTCTACATTTCCAAGTTCCAGGAAAGATGACAGGCAGGGCTATATAGAGACCTCTTCTCACAAAAAAAAAAAAAAAAAAAGAAGGAGAAAGATTAGATATTTTCACTAAGTGGGATTTATCCTAAAGGCAAGGTTGACTTAACATGTATAACAAATGTGAAAGACAGAAATCACATATTATTTCAACTAACACTCAAAACTCATTTTACAAATGCTTTATACCACAAACATATAGCCAACTGCCTTAAATCAGTGTTCTCTTGCTATGAAGAGACACGGTGACCATGACAACTCTTATAAAGGAAAGCGTCAGCATGGCAGGAAGCTTGGCAGCATGCAGGCAGACAAGGTACTGAAGGGGAAAAGGGTTCTATATCTGGACCAGCAGGCAGCAGGGAGAGAGGAAGACTGGGCTGGCTTGGGCTTCTGAAATCTCAAAGCCCACCCCCAGTGACACACTTCCTCCAACAAGGCCACACCTACTGCAACAAGGCCACACCTCCTAATAGTGTATTTACTATTAGGTGATCAAGCATTCCAATCTGTGAGCCTATGGGGGCTATTCTTATTCAGACCATCACACTTCCTCTAAAGTCAGCATCAAGGATTTGCACTCTTCTTTCTCTTATCTGATATAGTGCTCAAAATCTTAGCTATAGTGATAAGAGAAAGACATAAAATGGATAGCAATAGGAAGGGAAGAAGTCAAACTATGCCTATTGTCAGATAACATGATTTTTTTTTTACTTTAAAGATCCTATTGATCTTTCAACTCTCAGATGCAATAAAACTTAAAAGTTACAGCATACAAAATCAATATATACGAACGTAGCCTTCATTTATACTAATAGCCTACTGCCCAAGAAATCAGGATATTAGGGAAAAGTATTCCATTCAAGATAACTCCTACTGGGCTAGAGAGATGGCTCAGCGGTTAAGAGCATTTGGCTGTTCTTCCAGAGTTCAATTCCCAGTAACCACATGGTGGCTCACAGCCATCTCTAATGAGATCAAGTGCCCTCACTGTATACATAATAAATAAATCTTTTAAAAAAGGATTAATAAAATAATATGTACACAAAAGCTTAAAAAAACAAAAAACAAAATAACTCCTACCAAAATTAAGTGTTTAGGAATATATCTAAGCAAAGAAGTAAAAGACCTCTACAATTAAAATTTCAAGATATTCAAAAAAGGGATCACAGAAGATACTAGACATTGTCCCTGCATGTGTAGAACTAATACTGTGAAAATGTCTATACTACCAAAATTAATATATAGAACTAAAGTAATACCTATCAAAATTTCCATGTCATATTTCATAGGCTTAGAAAAAAATCAATACAGGAGTTTATATGGAATCACAAGGGACCACAGATAGCCAAGAAGTCCTAAGGAGTAAGAGGAATGCTGAAGGCATTTCAACACAAAAATTCACACTCTACGGTAGTGAGGAAGATAACCTGGTACTGGACTAACAAGCACAAAGGCCAACGGAATCACATGGAGGACCCAGAAACAAAAAACAGAGCCAGACCCACTTAGTTCTTTACAAAGGAAGCAAAAACTACTTTGGGAAAAAGCCTATTCAATAAACAGAGCTGGCAGAACTAGATTTCTAACTGAAGAATAATTAAATCAGATTTTTATCTTCCACTTTGTACAAGACTCAATTTAAAATGAACCAAAGACCTTAACTGAAGCTTAGAAAAAATTCAAGGGATGCACTTCAAGATATTTAGGCAGGTAAGACCTTCTCAAATAGAACACCAGCAGCCCAGGCACTAACCCTCAGATGGGGCCAGCTGAAAACAAGTTTCTGTACAGCAAAGAAGACAGTTAGCAGAGTTACAAACAGGCCAGTGGGGGAGAGAAATCTTTGCTGGCTAGGATTCAGACAAAGGACTAACATCCAAAATTTACAAAGAATTACACAAATTAAATACCAAGGAAACAAAACTGCCAATCAACATATAAGCTAATGAATTGAAAGAAAGCTTTAAAAAAAAATACAAGCTGGGTGGTGGTGGTGCACACCTTTAATCCCAGCACTTGGGAGGCAGAGGCAGGAGGATCTCTGTGAGTTCAAGGCCAGCCTGGTCTATAGAGTGAGTTCCAGGACAGCCAAGACGGTTACACAGAGAAACCCTATCTCAAAAAACAAAAAACAGAGAGGGGGAGCTAATAACTACTTTTCAAAGTGTCCAATAACCCTAGCCAACAGGAAAATGCAAATGAGAACTGCTCTGAGATACCACCTCATGCTAGTCAGAATTTGAGAACTGGAGAGATGTGCAGAGAAAGGAGTCCCTACTCACTATTGGTGGGGGTTCAAACTAGCACAGCCATTGTGGAATCCAGTTTGGTGATTTTTCCAAAAATTGGAAGTAGAACTAGCAGATGACCCTACAATTTACTCCTGAGTACCCACACCCTACCATGGAGATCTTTGCACTCCCATGTTTACTGCTGCTTTATTCACTAAAGCAGAAAAATTGTAATCTCTAGCTAGCCATCAACAGATGAATACATAATAATTATATATATATATATATCTGATATATATATATATATATATATATATATATATATATATCAGAATTTCCTAGCTCTAAAGAAAAATGAAATTATAAAACTTGCAAGAAATGGATGGACTTAGAATGTATAATATTAAACAAAATCTCAGGGGAAAAAAAACATCACATTCTCTCTCACATGAAGAATCTAGCCAGTACCAAATGTATGTGTACATGTATACACATTCTTGTAAGTGTAACATAACATGAAGAAAAGAGAACAAGAAAGGCTGGGTACAAGGAAATGAGGAAGGACTGAATGCATGTGAATTATTAAAGATAATTGTTTTTCTAGTTCTAATTCTTCCCTGGATCTTTTGGTTTGGGTTGTAGATAAGTACGTGAAATATATTCGATATTTAAGTGTAAAATTTAATGTGAAGTGCCACGGCTTCCATTCTGAATGCTTATTCTAATTGTACAGAAGTTCATTAAGTTGTATAGATTTTTGGCCTGCTTAACTTTGGTATGTGATGTTTTTATTTGTTTGCAAGTTATTTAAAGTTTATTTTTTAAAAATTAAAGATAAAGGCTCCATCTCAAAAACTGAAAAGTGGATTACTTCAATTGGGAAGTGTTGTGGTAAATGGCTGTGTAAAAAAGTTCCATGTGTAATGAACTTAGAAACAAAACAGATCCCATATGAAACCTGCACAGTTCCTAAGAGCAAATTCCCCAGAAACACATTAAGTCCGAGAGACACCCGAGCTGCATCGAGCACAAGCATTTCCGCACCTGGTGTAACGCCATATTGGAAGCATGTTGGTCAATAGCAGCCAGAGAGGGGATTCGAGATTCTGAAACAGATTTGTTCTCCTTCTTTATTAGCCTAGAATTTCGAGCTAGATAAAAAAAGAAGCAGAAACATAATGAAAAAAAAAATTAGGAGCAGGTAGTTTCCCAAATTTATAAGTCTTATTATATACGAGTGAATGCACTAGCCTACTTAAGTATACAAATTGCTATTCATTTTTAACATTGTTAGTTTATTTAACTTACAATTTAGCAATATAAACAAAAGGGGTTGGAAAGAGTAGAAGCACATGAGCATACCTATTCCTTCTAGAGCTCTCAGTTCAGGAAGATGATTATAGTTTAGTTCGGGCAATCGCACATCTGCTTTGGAATATTCCTTCCTTTTCTTGTTTGCCTGAAGGAGGTACTTTTCACTAGAGACCTAATTATCAGAATGGTTAACACACATGAGTTAGCTTTAAGGTGAGCCAGGCTGTTAACTACTATATTCATACACTCAGATGTGTGCTTTCAAGGGTTGGAATAATAGAACTTTAAGGACATTACTGCCACAGAAAACAGTGTCACCAGCTAATTTATCAAACTTGCTAACAAGTACAAAATTTGGCTGTTTTCTAGTTTCTTTCCTCCCCTTTGCCAATCTTCACGGATGTCCCTGCAAGCAATAGGCAGCAGAAGATGGGCATGGCACCCTAGTCCTTTAAGCCAGCAGGGTCAGTCCTATACCACCGCCTGGGCTTTTCAGCAAACAGCTGCTGTTCTTTACCCTAACTGTGACCAGTTGGTCTTCATATACATCTCCAACCCTCAAGTTTACTGTCTCAGTATAATCTTGTTACTCAGTTTTTGATACCTATACCCCAAACCTTCTCAAACAGCTGTAGCAGGCTAAACATTACTGTAAGTGATGGGACGGATCAGTGAGGAAAACCATGGCAAAGAGATAGACAATATATCCATAAAACACACAGAGGGTATCAGGTATATACAGTGGAAGAAAACTAGGTAAAAAGAGGGTTTAAACAGTGATGCAGGACTAGATACCATACTAAGATGAGTTCAATAATGAATAAGACCTCAAAATAAGGTTTTGTATGGACTAAAGAGGACAAAAAGCATGTGTTGGATTATCTAGGGGAAGAATGTTCTCAAGAAGAAGAAGAAGAAGAAGAAGAAGAAACAGTAAGTGTAAGAGCCCAAAGGCAGGGGTATATCTGGCCATCAAAGGAAATCTGTAGTTGGAACAGATCGAGAAACAGGATAGACAGAGATGGAATACAGGATTAGGGACTTGGCTCGTGCAAGAACCTATTATATCTAGAAGGACTCTGGCCTGTACATAAAGAATAGAGGCCAACTGAGAGTTTTAATCAGAACAAAAGGTGGACTACTTGGTGCTGTCTTGGACCAGCATTCTGCAGTCTTTGCTGAGAGCAGTGATGCTTCCCAGGCTATCTCTGAACCACATATGTGCTTCTCATATTAAAATCAGCCATCACATTTGGTTGGTTGGCCTGTTGGTAGGTTTGGATTTTCAAGAAAAGTTTCTTTGTGTAACCCTGGCTGTCCTGGAACTAGCTCTGTAGACCAGAGTGGCCTTGAACTCACAGAGACCTGACTGCCTCTGCCTCCCCAAGTGCCAGGATTAAAGGTGTGCACCACCACCACCACCTGGCCTTCCACCATATTTTTACCTTGCTGATCTACTAGACCATGAACTCCACAAAGATTAAACCAATTCAGTTCCAGTGTCTTTTATATACAACAGGATGATTATAAATGTTTCTTAAGTGATTATAGAAAATACTTTCACTAAAAAAAAAAAAATCTAGTAAGGTAACAGACAATGTATCTTCTTGTTTGCTCTTTAACAAGAACTCAACTGCAAGCATTAGGTTAAGAAAAGTTATTTATAAGCTGGGCGGTGGTGACACACACCTTTGATCCCAGCACTTGGGAGGCAGAGGCAGGTGGATCTCTGTGAGTTCGAGGCCAGCCTGGTCTACAGAGCTAGTTCCAGGACAGGCTCCAAAACAATACAGAGGAAAAAAAAAGAAAAGAAACGTTATTTATGTTGCCGAAAATAAAGAGAATCTTTCATTCAGAGTTAGAAAATTTATTTAAACATTCAGAAATTCAAATTACAGCTATGACGAGATAGGATGGCATTGTATAACTCAGGTTTTATTCTCTGTCTCCAAATAAAACTCTTAATCCTTCACTCTCACACTTAAGACCAGTGCATGTCTAGAGGTGATGAGTTCTTGCTCTTTTGCTGCTGGGAACAGCTACTTACGGATGTGGCCACGTTCATATTATAAATCCCTGATGGAGAAGGTTGATTTGGTTTAACGAATGGATTACAATATTTCTTAGTTTTCTCATCCACTCTGGAAGAAATATTTTAAGTTAGAATCATTAATGATTATTTTCTCAAACACAAAATCAATGACATCATGCTACAAGATAGGCAGTTTGATCAGAATTTAATACCTAGTCTGAGATATGCAATGCAGAGAAACCTGGTGAAACAGCCTATACTGTTATGATATCCCTCAGGCTTCCCACAGCTGCACCCTTCAGGAAAATGCCAAAAAGAGGGTCTGAAGCCACTAAATGCTCACCACCATCCCATGCAGCAGCAGGTATCCAAAACTAATTAGTCCTCTTATAATAACAGCCTCTCCTGTTATTAAACATCTATAGATTCTCTTTATCGTAAACAACAGTGAAATCCTACTTTCTTAGGGCTCAGGCGAATTCTCTCCTTTTTTAGCAAACTCTGGTAATTTTCATCATAAGGTCATCATATTTAAACAGCTATTTTATAAGTAGAAATTGGATCCAGAATTCTGACAGTAGCAATGTAAACAAATTACAAGCATTTTTTTCCCTCATTCATACCTGTAACTCTGTACTCCAGGGATAGTCCCCATTCCAGCATTAATACCAGGAGTAACTGCAGAAAGATTGTGTGTGAGTGGAGGAATCGCCATGCCTGGATTTCTTGGGTGATCAATGTTGACATTGCTGCAGTCTCTGAGGCTTGTGGAAGGCAAGCCTTTGATGTGGCTTGTCCCATTGTCATGGAGAGAGCTGGCATTTGAAGCTCTACTTCCTTTTTCAGCTTTCTCACCATCAATTTTTGACCCTTTTATTTTAAGCACTTTAGAATCCTTGATTTTGGGATCAGCATTGGTATCCTGACCATTAATAAAGATGTTAAAACATTAACGATCTGACAAGAAACTTCACAGTCTTATTCTACCAAAGGAATTAAAATTAAATCAAGATTTTTATTCAAATAATGAAATACAAGAATGTATGTGATGCATACCAACTTTACAGATGATAGGAAGACACACAAATAAATAGATATGTCCATAGATGATTGATAGATGATAGATAGATGAAGACAACAGATAGAAAGGTAGATAGATGATGGATAGATGACTGATAGAGAACGGATGGATAGATAGATAGATAGGTAGGTAGATAGATAGGTAGGTAGGTAGATAGATACATACATACATACATACATACATACATACATACATACATAGACAGATAGATAGGCAGATAGGAAGGCAGGCAGGTCTGTGTCAATGGTTATACATTTCAGTAAGGAGAAAAACATAGAAGAGAAATAGATATTGCTGCATTTGTTTTTACACATTCAGAGTCAGCAAACATAAAATTGAAAACCCTTCTGTTTCACTTGATAGTAGTAGAAATGTTATCAAGAACAGACCCTGAGTAATTTAGCAGGAAAAGTAAACTTTTGCTGTTGTTTTGAGACAGGGTTTCTCTGTGTAGCCCTGGCTGTCTTAGAACTCACTGTGTAAACCTGAATGGCCTTGAACTCACAGAGATCCATCCACCTGCCTCTGCCTCTGAAGTGCTGGGATTAAAGACGTGAGCTACCACCACCCAGCCTAAAAAGTAAACACCTAACTAAATATCAGAATCACAAACTTAAAATGTTATGAAAATTCTGAAAGCAGTAGTACTTTCACTTCCTGTTATTACAGAAGGAAAGTAGACTACACTGGGAGCACTTGTCCCTGGGTGTGCACATGTTTGCTCCCCAGTACTGGCTGTACCTGGGCAGGGACGCCCAGTGTTCTTGGATGTGTGTGAGGAGCTGGAATTCTCTGAAGAAGTTGCATCTACATTGAAGATTGTGCAGACTGACTTTGGATGAGAAACTGTGGAGAGATGGATGTAGACCTGAAGACAAAGTTACCCTGGGTTATCTCAGTCCAAAGTCACCCTGGTTAGCTCAGTCCCTTTAATAGTCATTTAGATTCCATCTGATCCAGACCAGCAGATTGTATTGCAAAGAACAGTGGACCTCTATCCTCCACCAATACAAAGCTAAAGGTTGCAAAATAACATCTAAAAAGCACAGAAAGACTTCCTACCTGACTGTAGCCTACCTACCTAAACCTACCACTGTGTCTAGCAACCTTCATTCTGTGGCTTTAAAGTTCTCATATCAAAACATGTCATTCAGGGTAACTAAAACCCATGTTCCTGGGGCATGGTTACTCATCCTTGGCCCATAATATGCCATTTCCTTATGTCCTACACATCATTATTTTATGTGAGTTGACTTTCTAAGCAACACTACTCCACTTTCTAGTCCCTACTGAGCATTGAAAAGATAATATTTTAAGGGGTTTGTTGTTTTTTAAGGTAATGTCTATAGGAAAGAAATTATCTTTTTGTTTGTCTTTTTGCAACCAGGTTAAAGCTAACAATTTACCCAGTATTTAAAACTTTAAAATCATCATTATTGGGCTGGAGAGATGGCTCAGTGGCTTGTTGGTCTCCAGAAGACATGGGTTTGCTTCTCAGAACCCTCACAGTGGTTCACAAACCACCCAAAATCCTAATTCTAGAGGATCCAATGCCCTCTTCTGACTTTAACAGGCATCTAGCCTGTATGCAATCCACATACACATGGTCTAAATACACATAAAATAAAATTAATAAATATATTTTCCTCCACAAATTTAAGCCTTAAAGCATGAACATTTACCTGTACCATGAGTGTCTTTCTTTCTTCACCCAAGGTGTCATCTTTTTCTTTCTTTCTGTTTTGAGATTTTTTGGGTAAAGAGTTATTCCTGGCATCTTTCTCTATTTTTAACTGCAATTCTTGAGAAAACCTACATAAAAGTACATGTCTCAATTAAAATAAAATTACATAGGAAAGATAAACCTAGAAAAAATCAAGATAATCATTTAAGACTCAGTGTTACATTTACCCATTTTACTTAAAATGAAAAAAAAATCACATTCCATATTAATAGTTCCTAAAAAGCCTTTGGGGCATTGGAGAGTCTGGCTTGAGAATGTCTGTACCACCCTGTAAACACTGGTCCTGATGGCATAAAACAACAGTGAAGAAGCTGATGACATCCTGCCTACCAAGAACTGAAACACCTGTACCAAACCAGGCTAGCAGTCATTGCTTCTCACAGTCAGACAGTCAGAGCATGTGTGTGTGTGTGTTGGGGGCAGGGAAGGTAACTTAAGGATGCTCATAACAAAATGGTGAAAGGGGCTCATTTTATTAAAGCTAACTGAACCCTTGAACACCTCACTTCAGATTCTGTGTGATAAGAAAGAAGTTCCCACAGTCTGTAGTTCCACAGGCTGACTTAAGAGAAGCACTTGAAGGCTGCTCCGGCACAAGTCAAGCCACACAAGTTTTTCATGAAAAAAATTTACACTTGAAAGACTAACTGAAAAGCCATGCTTATTCAAATGAACAAGGTGAGCTAGGCATTGCAAGGAAGGCAATGATAATATTTATGTAAACAATAAAATTTAAACTTTCAGGCAAAAATTATAATTCTATTAACTTGGGATCTTAGAGGTCTTCCCATGGTTCAAAAGCTTTCTGATAAAATGGAATTTTTGATATTATCTAATGACATACCAACATTTTTAAGGTCCACATAATTCAACATTAACAATGTGCTTCAAATGATAAAAATATGTCATAAAAGCATGCACAGATAAAGCATCAATTCAGAAGATCAGACAAAAATAGATTTAATGCAACAGAGAAAGAAAAGTTCATTGGCATGGTTTAAATTTCACAGTGCATCCAGTCTTTTAGAGGAACGGAGAGATGGCTCAGCAGTTAAGAGTACTTGCTCCTTTTCTGGAAATCCCCACTCAATTCCCAGCACCCACGTCTGGTAACTAACAACTGTCTATTACTTCAGCTCCACAGCATCCAACACAGTCTTCCAGCATCTATGGGCATACACATATGACAGACAAACACACACACACACACACACATAAACATAAAGTAAATTTTAAATAAAGGAACTACTATAGCTGAGCTTGGCGTTGTGTCATACACCTGTAAATTCCAGCACTCAGGAGGCCAAAGCAGGAGAATACTGACTTTGGGTCTAGCCTGGACTAGATAATGAATTTCAGATGAGCCAGAAGTACAGTGTAAGATCCTGCCTGGAATAATTTTTTTAGAAAAAGAAGAAGGGAAAAGGAAAGGAAACAGGGAAGGGAAGGAGGAATGGAAGAGGGGGGGAAACGAAGGAAAAAACTACCAGTGCCAGACTTTGGTATAATATTAAAGTTTGACACAGAGAATCAAAGAATACTACATTACCTCAAAAGATTATTAAAATGCTCTTCCACTTTTCTAGCTATCTGTTTCTTCCAACTAAAACAAGGAACCACGGTTCACAAATGTAGGAATCCAGATACTTTGTATTAAGTTAGATTTCCATAGAGATTTGCAAAATGATAAAGCTTTGGGACTGGACAGACAACTCAGCAGTTAAGCCCTCTTCTGGTCCCCGGGAGTACCTTCATTCATGTGCACATACACAAATACAGATGCACATGAAACATATATTCAACATATATTTTATACTATATATATTTGTACTGCATACAGATAGATATCCAGCACTGCCACAGCCATCCATCTCCTGTTTCTTGTCTGGTCTACAGAGCTGATGCTAACATCTAGATGGCACTGGAAACCAACCATGGCAGCAGGGCTGGCATCCTCAAGCCTGGCACCTTAAGGACACAGCACATCAGCACACTGACAGGATGGGCAGCACCACTGGACCTGGTGTGGCACGAGTCCCGCAGCAACAGGAGATGGCACCAGAATGGTAGATGTCATCACAGAAGATAGAAAGAGAAATGCCAAAAGAGACTATTCCATGAAAACCAGCAGCTCCAGTCTGATGAACATAGGAAACCATCCCTAAGTGGTTACTGCTAAGGGTAAATGGAGTAGGCTACAGGTAACTGATATCGTGCAAAGGTGGTGGCAACAAGTAAGACCCTGTGACTGTGGTGGTGACTTCCCTGTTATCCTTGTTACTGCAGCCTGCAGAACACAGGCTAGCACTATGGTACTGTACCTCTCAGCAAATCCATCCATTTGGAAGAAGTCATGGTTTAAAAGGTCAGCACAGAAGGGCCTTTTGTCCGGGTCAATATGCAAGCATTTCTGAAAGATCAAGAGCATGTATGAGTCTTCTTCAAGAACAACTGTCTACATTTAGATTTCTTCTTTCTAGTCAATGAACAAAATAAAATACAAATCTCAATAGTGACCATCATGGTTTTTATGTCACAAAAATAGACCCAGCATCCAGTGTCTGTGGGTGTAAATTAATGCACAAATTCCTAAGAAGCAATCTTTCCAAGAAATAAATTTAACATTATCTGAGGAAATTGTTGACCTAAAAGATCAAGTAGGGAAGGAGGTTAGGAGAAAGGGAGAGAAGGATGGATGGAGGGAGGGAGAGAGGGAGACAGAGAGAGGCACACACATGAGCCAAGTCTCCAGACTATACAATTTTCCTGTCACAAAAAATTACCTTTGCTAAATTTATCACGACTTCAGGGAGCTTGGGGTAACGGCTCTCGAGGGGTTCTGTTTCTATGTCTTTGATCTCAGGCAATCTTACTCCAGCAAACACAGGGTTTTTATAAAACAGCTCCTGGTGTCTTGGAATTAAATTACCTGGGGAGAAAACCGGCATCCACCTTCGTCAGTACAGGCAACAGAAACGGTGAAAACAGCTAGTGGACAGTGGGACTCTCTGAGCATGCAAGATCAACCTAGACAGACTGTTACTGTAAAGGCACTTGGAAGTCTTTATAGTGGGCTTGACACGACGCAGCTCAAGAAAATGAACACTGCTTTTGTAACCTATCTGTCCAGAAAATAAAGCACATCTATAAGTGGAATACTTGTGAAGACACAGGACGGACATATGAAGAACGGTTTGTGCCACTCTAGATGAAACACTGCTGCTTCTGCTAACAGTAAAATGTTATCACATGCCCAAAACAATGAAGACAGAGTCACACAGGCAGAATCTAACTTAAATAAGTCAGCTCCTCCCTAAGAGAATTTAATGTTTATTCAACAGACTATGTCCCAATGTCTAAATTCAAATTTGACCATTTTAACTTTTTTCTCAACTTCAGTACCTATTATATCATGAGATATATAACTGAAAAAGTTAAATTGTATAAACGTTTTATTATAGTAACACACTATAAATACTATATAATACAATATTGAGGAAATAGTGAAAAGAATAATGTAAATATTCAGAACAGACACAACCCCTCTATTCTTCCTCCATCCTCCCTATAATACAGCAGTAACATGAAAATTCTACTGTAAGAAATCACATAATACTTAATAAATTCTTAATCTCAGAACTTAAAACCAAATAATTAAATTACTCCAAATGTCTTCCTATTATTTCTATTTTAAAACCTATCTTAAAATATGAATTTTATATTCCAACAAATGTAAGGCTCAGCGTCTAGCTCTGGAATTTCATCTGAAGCACTAAGAATGAAAAACAAAATCTGGGAAGCTAGGCACAGTGATGGACATCTGCAGACATAGCCTTGGGAAGCTAAAGTAGTAAAGACCGAGTGGCTTAGGTAGAAGAATGGAGAGTCTGGGGTTACCCTGCTATACAGCAAGACCCTAGTCTCAGAAAACAGAAGACAAAAATAAAATTCAAATGAAAGGCAGCATTAACTATCCCATAAGTCTCTGTGTCTCTCATCTTATCCTAGAGGTGAAGATAAGGATGAAGAGGGTATCTGGTAAAAAGTGATGATTACATCTCTGTCTAGGGAGCTGGAGGTGAGCATGATTCAGAACCAGGCTCCAGGACAGTAACGTTTTCTGAGTAAATGTGAATTCTCACTACACTGACTTATTACAACTCTTTCAGCCCTTAAAACTCAGCAGTGACTTCGAGCAATTCCAGGTAGTTGATTGTATGCTAATATATTCTTTGTTCAGATGATTTTTAAATTTTCCTGCCTATTAGGCTTATGATTCAATTTATCTTCAGAAAATATCTCCTTTTCTCTTACAATGATCAGCCTTGCTAGAGACTCAGAGGGTATGCATATGCACATGCAAGTGCACACATGCATTTGTGTGTGTTTGCATGTGTGCTTAGGTGCATGCGTGCAGTGTGTGTATATATGTGTGTGTGTGTTTCCTATTTGGTCCATACCTTCACCTAAAATAAGTATCACCTTTAATACACAAACAACTCTAAATAACAATAAAAACACACACAGGAAAAAACTGTAAAATATAAATCACAGGTGTATACTCTTACCTAAACATGTCATAATATGATGAAGCTGGTCAATGTCAGATTCTCCTGGAAATAGAGGTTGCCCCATGAGCATTTCAATGACCAGACAGCCAATGGCCCAGACATCAACAGCCCTGGAAAAAAAGTGAGGTGACATAAGACATGGCTTCCTGACTCCTCTCCCGTGCCTGCATCTTCTTGGCACTGAGAGGTAGTGGTGGCTCACACCTTTAATCCCAGCACTCGGGAGGCAGAGGCAGGCGGATCTCTGTGAGTTCAAGTCCAGCCTGGTCTACAAAGTGAGTTCCAGGACAGGCTCTAAAGCAATATAGAGAAACCCCGTCTGGAAAAACAAAAACAAAAGAAAGAAAAGAAAAAAAAAATCTAACCATTAAAGGAGAACGACTCTGAAAAGCCACACTGGTTATGCATATTTTATTCTGAAAATAAGACTCTGGCTATTTGCTCACTCTAACAAGGTCATCAGTGTAGTCCTTAGTACACTAAAAAAAAAAAAAAAAAAAAAAAAAACCACAGAAAAAAGAAGCGGTCACTGACAACAGAGTGACAACAAGAGCTGAAAGCTAACAGAATTTAAAATTGTCCTAACAATTATTCAGAACTAGAGTAGTATGTCAGCATGGAGCCAGCTACTTGAAAGTTGTCTGGTAATGGCTGAATTATAAAATACTACAAAAATTATAGCAGTGAGATAAAATGAAAACTCAAAATAATTCTAAAAAGATTACCGGATGTCTAATGTACTCAAAAATTACAGAAAACTTCTGACAAAAGTAAAATGCATAGCCTTCCCCTTTTGAAGAATTCATTTATAAAAACAACTTACATTTTAAAAATCTTTATATAATATTTTTAACCTCATGTTGCCTATTCTACCTCATGTAACTATAAGACTTCTCTAATCAATATTAACTTCTCTTTACAGATAATAAATATCATTTAACTTTAAATTATGTGTGTGGCTGTATGTACATAAGTGCAGGTGTCCAAGGAGGCTTGAGGCGAGCTACCCAATGTGGGTGCTGGGAAGTCAAGTGCCCTCTGAACTCTCTTAACCTCTGGGTCATCTCTCTAGGCACTAACAAATATATTTCTTTGTGACCATTAAAATTACTCAGGTTGTATTGCAAGCTTTTTGTTGATCTGTTCTGACATCCTGTGGAATAAAACCAGGATCTCACTGCCACAGGCAAGGACTCCACCACTGAGCCACACAGCCCTCAAAGGAATTTCCAAAGATAAAGCACTAGGGATTGCTTCAAACCCCTCATTAAACACTGAGCCCAGGCTTCCCTTCCCATGTTAAGTGGATCATCTGTTACACACGCCCCACTTCTGAAGAGATAGCCTCTGTGCCCTCACTGCTGACTCTTACTTGCCATACTTGACGTCACCAACCAGCAGCTCTGGAGCTCGGTACCATCGGGTGGCCACGTAGTCAGTGTAAACCTCCCCAGGAGCTGCCAATGTCCGTGCAAATCCAAAGTCACATAATTTCACAACACCAGACTGAGAGACTAATATATTCTCGGGCTTTATATCTCTGTGTATGATCTAAGACAAAAAAAAAAAAAAAAAAAAAAAACAAAGAGCATAAAACATGTTAAACCAATTAATTTGGGGAGGGGTAGCAGTGCCTGTCATGAGCAAGATACCACTGCCTGTCCCTGTAAGAGTGGAACGCATAGGAAGTTATTCTGGGGCGTAAAGCCCTTCAACCTAGTGGAACAAAAGAGAACATCACGTTTCAAGTGTTAAACTAGCAAAGACATTAAGTAAAATAGGCATCATTAACCAACAAATCAACGTTCAATTACTACTGTCAAAACCAAAGAATAAACCTGTTGTTGAAACTAGAGGTAGTCGAGGATATTTTTTATGGAAGAGATAAGCTTTATAATAGGTTTTTAATACAGTACTGTGTTAGCAAACACCATACATGTGTCAAGCCCTACATGAAGTTTTACATACTTTAACTTATTTTTACCACATTAGCCATGAAATGGGTGCCCCAATAGCTTCCACTTACAGGGGGCTGGGGATGGGTAGTAGAGGTATGGAAGCCTGAGGAGAAAGCAGGGAATGGGAGCATAACCTAGGAGAATTTGAGAGTGGAATAGGAAAAAAATAGTGTTCCTGTCAGGAAATGCCAATACTTTGATTAGAGAGAGGTCAGTTATCTCACCAAAAATGAAAACTTCTTTTCCATAGCTGGTTTGCCATCAGAACACCACTAATTCAAAAACAAAATGGAAAAAAAGAAGACTCCTAACACCATCGTCACTAGACATGTGAGTCAGATAAGCCACAGGACTGGCCACCTGATGGACGAATGCAGTGGAACAGACTCATAAGCCACTAAAAAGTGTGACAGAGGCTGCTGAGACAGGAGAAGGCTCCTTCATGTGTGCCTGGTTCTGAAACAAACTGAAAGCTGAGTGTGGACTGCAATCACTACGACATCTCCCTGCAGAAGTCTGAGAGAGAGCAGTGAACACTGCGTGACTATCTCTGGTACCCCAGGACACTGAGATTTCATCAAAACAGGATCACATGCCCAGTTCAGGATGTCTGTGTTGTCCTGACTGTTGCAGTTGATGTTGGTGAACTTGAAGCTGCTATCTCCAAGAATGAGCAGACCCATGAGCATACCCTTCTGGTTTACACATTTAGAATCAAGTAGTTAATTGTCTGTGTCAAAAAAAAAAAAAAAAAAAAAGGATTCCACTGAGCCATCCTACAGCCAGAAGAGATGGGAGGTAACTGTTAAGGAAATTATGAAAACTGGCTACAACCCTGGCATAGTGTTAGCACCTATGTTGATTTCTGGTTGGACTAGTGCCAAGCTCTATAGTTCAAGGGATGGAAAGTCACCCAGAATGATGCCAGTGCCAGCAGGACCACACCAACAGAAGCTTGTAGTTCCAACTAACAAGTCTTTGCAACTGCCCCTCCAAGATGTCTGCAAAGTTTGTGGCCAACATTACTGTCCCTGTGGGCCAAGAGAAGACTGGTGCTCTCATACCTGGCTTAAGTCAGTGTAACAACAAAAGCAGTCTGCTGAAATGCATCATTGAGTGAAGTTCTTCCTGGGGACAGTGTTAAGAATGTGTTTGTCAAGTAATATAGACATGGCTATGTTACTGGTGACAGCAAAAGTGATCCACCAATGGGAGCAGCTGGCTTCACTGCCCAGGTGACTACCCTGGACTGCCCAGGGCCAAATCAGTGCTATGCAGCTATTCTGGATAGTCATATAGCTCATAGCTTACAAGCTTGAGGAACTTAAAGAAAATTTTGAATGGCATATGGAAGCAGTATACAGTCTTCATCAGAAACCACGTGGTGGTGGTACATGGCTTTAATCCCAGCACTTGGGAGGCAGAGGTAGGCAGATCTCTTAGTTCAAGGCCAGTCTGGTCTACAGAGTGAGTTCCAGGATAGCCAGGGCTACACAGAGAAACTGAAAGGAGACCCACCCTGAATGTGAGGGGCATATTCCACGGGCTGGGGTCCTGGCCTGAATTGAAGGGAGCAAGCAGGATGAGTACCAGCTTATTTCTCTGATGCTGACTGCCATGCAGTGTGACCAGCTGCCTCCCGTTCCTGTGCTATGACTTCCCTGCCATGATGGACTATACTCTCAAGTGTGAACCAAGTCAACCCTTCCTTCCTTAAGTTGTTTTGGTCAGTTATTATGTCACAGCAACGAGAAAATTACTAATATGCTAATACTTCATACTGATTCAATTTCCTGCATGTATGACATTGTTATTATACATCATGTAGTCTGTTCCTGTGATAACATATCTCTGATTTATTAATCTGGCATTCAGTTTCCTGAGCATGATTAATGTGAATATTCATGATAAAAACAATGTCAAAGCTAGATTTCTCAAAAATCAGTCTTCTGAGACTGGATCATCAATTTAGAAGATTCACAAGTAAAGCCAATGTTTCCCTAAGTTTGAACTAAACTAGATGTCTCTATTGAATAACTGATATATACATATACACAGATATAGTCACCCTGAACTATACCATAATATAATTACATAATGGGAGTAGACAAGACCCTAAAAACTGAAGATGATAAATAAAATGAAAACAATTGAATGTTCAGGTAGCTATTTTCTCTTTTACTTACTATTTATTTATATTTCAGTGTGAGCATAGGTCAGTCAGTGAAGACCCAAAAAGTGCACCAGATCTCCAGAAGCTGGAATCAGTTGTTTTGAGCCACCTGATGCAAGTGCTAGAAACCTAACGCAGGGCCTCTGGAAGAATATCGAGCATTTGTAACTGTGACACCATCTCTCCATCCCCTACTTGTATATTTGCTGAGAGAAGAGTCTCATGTAGCCTAGGCTGACCTCCAACTTGCTACTTAGCCAAGATTGGCTTCTATTGTCCTGGCCTCTACCTCCCAAGTGTTGGGATTCCTGAAAGGTATTACCATTCCTGGTTTATGGTACTTGGAACCAAACCCAAGCCTTTGTACATACTAGGCAAGCACTCTACCAACAGATAGTCTTCAGTTCTCAAACTATATACCACTATCACTCTTGATGACTGTAATCACAAAACACTATTATATAAAATATTTTGTAAAAAAGTGTATGTTGAGTTATTCGTTTTATGCCCTATAGGTGCTATTTTTTTCTAGATGTGCTTTTCTATGCCATCCAAAAGACAAAATAGAAAAGAAAAAGTTGCTACAGACTAGATGAGAAGAACAGAGATTTTCATGTTCTTGTACTTTACAAGTAAGCAGGAAAACATGAGTCAGTAAAACATAGTTCCTTGGTGTATACTTCAAATTTACCAATTTCATTCAGCAAATGTTATGTTTAAAAGGACAAAAATGATCAATAAACAGACATTTAAGTTTAGTTTATAAGCCATTCTAGGGGGCTAGAGAGATGGCTCAGTGGGTAAAGGTACTTGCCACCAAGCATGACAATCTAAAACCAATTTCCAAGATTTACATTGTAGAAGACAACAGATCCTGCAAGTTATACTCTGACATGTACACACTGACATATGCACATACACAACAAACTGGTATTCAAAAGTATACTGATGTCTTCAACTTACTTTAAAATGCATTAAGTATTAGAGATTAATAAGGCTGGGTGATAATGGCACATGCCTTTACTCCCAGCACTCTGGAGGCAGAGGCAGGAGGATATCTATGAGTTCAAGGCCAGCCTGATCTACAAAGTTACACAGAGAAACCCTGTCTTGAAAAACCAAAACAAATAAAAAATAAATAAAAATAGAGAATAGATGAACAAAGATTATAAAATTAGCTCACAGACTATAAATATTAAGTAACTATAGCAAACTATTAAATACATAATATAGCTAGTAAGAAGAGGGTGTCTATTGTGTATCCTTCCAACTTCTCAGTAGGGTCTACCATTTTTTTTTATAAATACCATTCTTTAGAAAATGTTCATGTCATTTATTATGACACATGAAAATCAGCAATAGCAGAGTTATATAGTTCATTTAAATTATGTTACTTGTTCAATCTCAAAACAAATATTTCATTAAACTAAGTCACTATTATCTAGACAGTGAAAGACTGGCAAAATAAGCATCATCTCTAATACTTACATTGTGACTGTGGCAAAATCCAATTCCATTAATAATCTGAAACAAATACTTTTGAACTACTTGATAGTCTAGTCCATTTGGAAATAGTTTCAAGTCATCAAGAATCGTGTGGTCAACAAATTCAAAGACTAGGTACCAACGTTTCTTTTTCTTACATACTTCCAACAGATTCACCAAATTTTCATGCCTCAGTTGCTGTTATAAAAAATGCAAAATAATTTTAGAAGGTCAAGTTATGAGCAATTAACTACTATTTAAAAGATGCTAGTATAAGAAAATATGTAAATAAAGCACATAAACAGTGCATACTATAAAAGTATATTCAAGTTCTAAAACAACAATCTAGGAGCATATTGTTCCTTCTCCTCTCAGAGAATACAATAAAGCCAATGAGAAAAAGAAACACTGACAAGTACCCCTAGAACTGAATGTCACCAAAGATTAGCAACATAAGGGAGACAGTAACAACCACACAGAGACAGTTGCTGGAAAGAATCTATCAGACAGGTAAAAAAATCATTAGGAAAAAAATCAGAAATTACAAATTCAGAGAAATTAAGGCTAACATAATTTAATTGTATACTCAGCACCATGATATAAAGAAATGAACAGAACCCTGGTAGATTTTTGTTACCGACAGCAAAATCCTGTCCTCTCCCCTAAATGAACCTCTTATTGATAGATACTCCAAAAGTACTATATTATCATAAAATTAAAAGTATTCAAGGTACTGAGGGAATAGCTCAGTAACAGGTAACTTGTCTGACATGAGTGAGGTCCTGGGCTCAATCTCTAACATAAAACAGGAAGGAAGAAAGTGAGGGGTGGGGACAGATGGAAAGGTGGGAATTATTCCAAGCTCTGTTCAACAATGCTATAAGGGAAGAGTAAGACAAAAAGCAGGTTGACACTAAATGTAAATTTAAAAAGTATTGTCACCGTTGAAAGGAAGAAATCACTAGAATATGTGATCTAGTAATATGACAGCCATTCAAATTGCATTTAAGTAAAACAAAAAAAAGGATGATTTTGAAAATGGATAACTTATCAATTTTATGTAGGAACAAACCTTATCAAATATGGGCATCATGGCAATGAAACAGAAAGTATACATTTAATTTTATTTTCACTTTCTGAAATAGTCTCTATTACATAGGTCTGACTCATAGAGATCCATCTCATCTGCCTCTGCCTCCTGAGTGATGGGATTAACGGCATGTGCTACCGCACCTGCTATAAATATTTATTTTAAAAGTGCAATAAGACAGACAGATAACTTTTCATGGGAACAATGAGACAACAGAAAAGTGGTATCAGATTCTGAATATAATGCAATTAACTTGAAGAATTCTGTTTTTTGTGGATATAGGTTTTTTAAAAAACAAAGAACTAAAATATTGTTTCAGACTGACAAAAAATGAACACCATTCCTTGCTAAATTATCTGCTTTAAAGAAAATAATGGATTTAGTTCTTTGCTTTCATTTTTACTTTTAGGCAGAGGTTTGAGTAGCCTTTATCCTCTTAGATCAGCCTCCCATGTACTGGGATTATAAACCTGAGCTACAAGGATTGGCTAAATAATTTATTTTAAAGCAAGGAAAGAGATCCCAGGTAAGAGGCTAAAAAACAGGGAACATGGAAGAGTAATGCAAAAGATGAATTTTAATATATCCCAATAAATGCCAACTATAAACATCTAACAATACAGAGATTTAAAATACATGAACCACATATATCTCTTATAAGGGGAGAGGGAGGAAAAGGAGGGAGTTAGTACAGTAACAGAGCCCCAGGCCACAGCAGGCCCCAAGACTTAGTACACCAAGTCCATGATGGAAGTATCATGCAGGACATAAAACTCAGCATATAGATAGCACCACCTGCCAAAATTAAAATGAAGTCCTAATCCATCCAAGTCTATAGTACTGGGAAAGTCTCTAAATGCTTTTTGGCTTCTATAGTTCTGCTTCTGGCTGGCTGTTCTGGTTAGCTGAAGTATGTTAACCAAGGACATGTGCTTAAAAGCTCACCCTGGGAAAGGCTTGGGGCTACATCCAGTGTAGTCTATGGCTGGCTAATAAAGACTTTCTATTGGCTTAAACTCGTGCCCAAGCAGTCTTCTCTGGTGACTACCCCACAACAAGTGCAGTTAAAAAGTCTATAATCTTCATTGCAAAAGCAGCCTTTTGGGATATTAGTAAGTTAAAGCTGTATAGTATTTCATATAATTGCTAAAAGACAGGCAAAATAACAAGTGATAAAAGAATCGAAGAAACTGTATAAAAGGCAACCAGAAACTAACAAATAGAAATCTAGATAGCAGTATTAAGTGTTCTGTGGAGAATGAGTTGTGATAGCCATGCATTTGGTTTAGAGTGAGCCTATTAACTAAATAGCAAGCAAAAGAAAAGAGAGAGAGAGAGAGAGAGAGAGAGAGAGAGAGAGAGAGAGAACAAATCATCAGACAGCAAATAGATAGAAACAGCAGATAGCAATACATCTTCAAATCAGGCGCTTATAACACCACAGAAACGGGTGAACCAGCTAGGGCAGCCAGCTGGAATTCCCAACTGTGAACATTGTTTTGTGGCTATATATGGATTATATTTTGTAGTTTAAAAGGCATTTTTAAAAAATACTACAAAGTGGTAATTCAATAACTGAGAATAATGACCCATTGAAAAGAGAATCTTTTAATTAAACAAGAAATCATAATAATCATTGCCTAAGATTGTACAGTTAGCAAATACATTAATGGGGGGTATGCAAATTATGAGAATCAGTAAGGAAAAGTTAAATATGCTAATTGGAGTTCAAAACACTAGGAAGGGAATGGACAGAATGATAAATAAATACTAAGAATTTTCTAAGCAGGTTAAATTAAAAGATATCCACTAGAAGCACCATAGTAGGGACTGGAGAGATGGCTCAGTGATTAAGAGCACTGGCTGCTCTTACAGAGGAGCTGGGTTCAATTTCTAGCATCCACGTCATGGCTCACAACCATCTATAACTCCAGTTCCAGGGGAATCCAATCTTTTTTTCTGGCTTCTGCTGGTAACACAAACACACACACACACACACACACACACACACACACACACACACACACACACAAATGAAAAACACCCATATATTTAAAATAAAAATAAATCTTAAAAAAAAACAAAGCACAAACAAAGAAAAACACTAAGCATGGTAGCTCACACCTTAAATACTAGCACTCGGGAGGCAGAGGCAGGTGGATCTCTGAATTCCAGGTCAGCCAGGTCTACAACTAGAGCTATATGAGACCGTGTCTCAACAAAACAGAACTTGAATAAGCTCATGTAACTAGCACATGAATGAAGAAAAAGGGAAATTGAAATCACTCTAGAGTGAGATAGCTCAGCTGGTGATGGTGTTTGCTGTCAAGCCTGAGGCCCTGAATTCAGTCCCCAGGCCCCGCATGGAGGAAGGAGAAAACTGAATGCCATACTCACAAGCTCACACATACATACACTGCACATGTCACACAAATAACGTAAGAATAGCACCCCAGCAAGCTCCCTGATCCTTCTCTGGTCACTGCCGACTCCCTCCCCTGCTGAAAAAGCAAGTGACCCTGAACTTGCTGGGAATAGAGTAATGTTTACTAGTATCGTCTCTTTGGCTTTAGCTACTTATATTTTCCTATTTGAGGATTTTTTTGTTTTTGTTTCTCAAGACAGGATTTCTCTGTGTAACAGCTCTAGCTGTCCTGGAACTCACATGTGTCACCATGCCTGGCCCTTACTTAGGTTTTAAAATTTCATTTTAATGTATTTTTATAATATATAATCACACATAAGTGCATTTTAATGAGTATAGCCAACAAAAATTGAGAGGAAAAAACACCCAGACATCAGACTGGCAAGATAGCCAAATCCCTAATAAAACCTCTAGTCACTGAGTTCCTGATGAATTTTCTATGTAGGTGTTATTCCATGTGTTGTCATGACACATTGCTGGAAGAAATGAGCATATCACTGGGAGAGGACTCTCTTGGAAGCTTGTCTGTGTTTCCTCTGAATTTCAGTTCTTGTCACTCTAACCTGTGTTGCTTGTTGAGGCAGAGTTTCTCTACATAGCCCTGACTGTCCTGGAACTGGCTATGTATACCAGGCTGGATAATAGAATATTTTCTATAAATTTGCCAAATACAAATAGACTGGATATTGTAACTGTAACTCTTATTTGATAGCTGTTTTAGTGTATATAATTTTACTGTGTTAAAGTTAAAACCTTCCTTTTAATTAAATAAAAAGGGGGAAATGTTATCAAAAAATCTTTTTGTACACTGTGAATATGTGTTGCTTTCCTTGGTTTAATAAAGGGCTAAATGACCAATAGCTAGGTAGACAGGACTTTTAGACAAAAAGAGGGCTTGAGGATGAAGTCTCAAGAGATGTGAAGAAAGAGAAGATGAGCATGCGGTACTGAGATAAAGTACTGCCACACAATAAGAGTGCAGATAAGAAATATGGGTTGCCAGGCAGTGGTAGTGAATGCCTTTAATCATAGCATTTGGAGGCAGAGGCAGGCAGATCTCATTGAGTTCGAGGCCAGCCTGGTCTACAAAGTGAGTTCCAGGACAGCCAGGGCTATTACACAGAGAAACCCTGTCTCAAAACACAAAACAAAACAAAAAGAAATATGGGTTAATTTAAGAGCCAGGTAGTAACATTCTAAGCTATTGGCCAAGCATTTATAATAAATAAGTCTCCCTGTCCATTACTGGGGATCCAGTGGTCCCAAAGAAAAACCTGACCTACAGTTATTGTTGCCTCTTTTGAGAGAGGGTTTCTTTATACAGCCCTGGCTGTCCTAGAACTTGCTATGCAGGCCAGGCTGACATCTGGCTTGCAGAGACTTGTCTGCCTGTGCTTCCCTAGTGCTGTGACTACAGGCATGCACACCAAGTTCAAATTTTGTTAAAAACAAGACACATATAAAAACACAGGGCTAGGAAGACAGCTAGTCAGCAAAACACAAGAGCCTAAGTTGATCCTCAAAACATACATAAAAAGTCAGGTATGGTATCGAGTGATGGGAAGGCGAAGACATGAAGACTAGGGCTCACTGGTCAGTCAGTCTACTCTACTTGGTAGTAACACTCAAGGCTGCCCTCTGGCCTCCACATGTATACACATGGGTGCACCCCATACACACACACACACACACCACAGGGATATTTTTCTGCAAATGCAACACAATCTTGAACAAGAAGTAACTAATCTTTTGCGTTGGATGCACTTACCTTTAGTAACTTGATTTCTCGCATAGCAATTTTCTTCACCATTTTGTCATCATCGCTCTCTAAGAACTTCTTAATGGCCACAATTCGTCCACTGTCTTTGTTCCTACACTTCATCACCATTCCATAACTCCCTTCTCCAACCAATCCTAGGTTCTCATATTTTTCCATTGTAATTTAAACCCAGTAGGAATTTCTCTAGCTGTGGGAATCAGAACATAGGGTTAACAATGTTGGGTGCGTCAATTTCCTCCAATCTCCTGGCAAATTCACTCTTGTGAAATTGTTTCCCTTGTTACAGCAAGTCACTATCTTTGCAGCTATCTATACTGTCACCATTTCTTACCATTCCCACATGCAGCTAAGCTTTCAAAGTGTTTGTACGTTTTAAAATGGCCACTAACTTCACATTTAAATTGTATAGATTCAAATTAACAAATTAAATTTATTTTTAATTATATGAAGCAACAAGCTATCATTCGAAATAATTAGAGTTAACAAAACACAGTCCTTTTCCCTTCAAGATGCAAAGAGTACAACTGAATTTGGTTTTCATGAAAATCAAAAACGTTTATGCCGGAGCTGGAGACATGGCTCAGCAATTAAGAACATGGACTGCTCTTCCAAGGGACCTGGAGTTTGGTTCCCAGAACACTCACAGTGGACCACAATCAGCCAAACTCCAGTTTCAGTGGACCCAACACCTACTTCCGGCCTCTACAAGCATTAGGCACAGGCATGGATACTGATGTACATATATATGTGCAGAGAAAATACTCCTGCAAATAAAATAAAAATAGATCTACTGAGCACAATAGCACACGCCTTTAATCCTAGCACTTGGGAAACAGAAGCAAGTAGGTCTCTTAGAGTTTGGGGCCAGCGTGGTCTAAAGAGTGTTCCAAACAGGAGGGTTATATAGAGAGACCCTGTTCCAAAACCAAAAATTAAGACAAAACAAAATAAATCTTAGAAAATTTTATACAAGATTCAAAAAAACCAAATTGGAAATCTCCATTCACTTTTCACTTAATTATAAAAAATTATCATGTCAGGCAATGGTGATGAATGCCTTTAAACCCAGCTGTCAGGAAGCAGATGCAGATGGATCTCTGTGATTTCGAGGACAGCCTGGTCTACAGAGCAAGTTCCAGGACATCCAGGATTCAAAGAGAAGCCCTGTCTCAAAGAAGGAAAAAAAAAAAAAAAAAAAAAACCAACACTTTTTTTTTCCTCTTGCTCTTTTTTCTTTTTACTTTTAGTGCATTGGTGTTTTCTTGCATGTATGTCTCTGTGAGAGCGTCAGATCCCCTAGAATTGGACTTATAAACAGTTGTGAGTTGCCATGTAGATGCTTGGAATTTAACCAGGGACCTTTGGAAGAGCAGCCAGTGCTTTGTTTTGTTTTGTTTCGTTTTGTTTTCTGAGACAGGGTTTTTCTGTGTAGCCCTGGCTGTCCTACAACTCACTTTGTAGACCAAGCTGGCCTCAAACTCAGAGATTCGACTGTCTCTGCCTCCCAAGTGCTAGGATTAAAGATGTGCACTGCCAATGTCAGTCTCCAATACAGCCAGTGCTCTTAACCACTGGGCCATCTCTCCAGATCCTTCTCTGCTTTTCTTATGGTACTGACTAAATTACTAAACTTAAGTCACTTAAATTTTGTAGACATGTTTTTTTTCTATCTTACTATAAGACATTTTCTGAATAAACTCAATCACAAATTGAATTTTATGTTATCATTAATTGATGAAAATCCACTAATCAGTTTTCATATTGCATCCTTTTTAAAATTTATTTATTAATTCATATACAGCAATCTGTCTGCAGGCCAGAAGAGGGCACCAGATCTCATTACAAATGGTTGTGAGCCACCATATAATTGCTGGGAATTGAACTCAGATCCTCTGGAAGAGGATCCAGTGCTCTTAACAGCTGAGCCATCACTCTAGCCCTGCACATTTTCATACATAAAAAAAAAAAATCACTATTTTAAGGTTGGAAATGTGGCTCAGTGGTAGAATGTGTGCTTAGGGTGAGTGTGAATAAATACTTTTTAATATATATATATATATTACATATATATATATATATATATATATATATATATTACACTTGACTCTGCATCTTAAGTGCTGAGATTAAAGGAGTATGCCCCCCATGCTCAGCATAAATTTTATTTTTAAGTATGGTTTTGAAATATAAATTCCAGTAGCCAGATCCTACTTTGGTTTCAACAGAGGTTCGGGAGGGCTTAAACATTAGCTAAGTTTATATTCAAATGACTCAGTTGAATTCTTAAAGCCTGATCATACAAAACCCTTATCCCAAACCTTTGGAATGAAAACAATTCCTTCCTCTTAATATTGAGAACTATGGTGATCAAAAGCTAACTTACCCAAACTGTAAGACAGTTGAGTTTTACTGGCTTCTCTATCTGTATATGAACAGCAAAGGTGAAACACACACACATACACCAAAAACAAAAAAAAAAAGTCTTTTTATTCTACAAAATTATGATAATCCGAAGTTGTTTATTTTACATTTTCAACACTTGACATTTAACAGTTTGAGGTTTTATGAGAAGAATGAGGCAGAGACAGAGAGGGGGAGGGAGAGAAAGAGAGGAATTAACCCAAGTCCTCCAACAGGCTAAAAGGCGTTCTTTCTACCATGGAACTACACCATCCATCACCCATGTTTTGCAAACTGTAAATGTAGGTAGACATAAAAGACCAAAAGCATGAAGGTGAACATCAAACTCAAAATCCTTCACTATTTTATTGCCAGTTTGGGTATTAGATTCTACTAAAAACTATTTGCAGTGTCACAGACACTGACTTCCAGACTTTTTAAATTCTTATTTAATTACTTTTTAATCAAAAGGTTATATTTGGAAAAGTCTTCAAATTTAATTCTAATTAGCCCAGTTTCTAGCCTTCCTTCCATTAAGTATCTATTATAAAAGAGTAAGCTTCAGACCAGCAAGATCAATAATACAAATAGCTGGAATCTATAGCCTGGATTGTTTTAGCATATTGTAACTGGCATCCTGGAGATTTGAAGATGCAAATCGAACAAAACAAAAATTACTTTAAGCATTTCTACAGAGTTCTGAAAGATATCATAAACTAGTATTATACATGCAGACTACTACTCCAGGTTTATTTTCCCAACCAACTGCACAAGTGGACACAATACGTTCAGCACACCTAATTGTTCAAGTAAGCCATGGCAAGTAATACCTTAAAAGTATCACAGCCTAAAACATGCCTTGTTTCCTCAGTAACTTATAATCCACATTTTTTTCTTGCCTTCCACTCTTAAACCTATAGATATCTATCATGCGACACACAAAAAAGAGAGCCTGGTACGATGGCACTATAGGATCTGTGCCACACAATCATACTGTTCAAATACCACCAATTTTCTTTGGTTAAAATCAGACTGAAATCTTTTATATATAAAAGAACGAGATAACAGGGCAAGTATTATACTTACTATTTTTTCCAAACCCTTCACATAGAAAGAGCCAAAGGTTTTCAACTTGGAAACAAATTGGAGGTGATATGCATCTCGCTAGCAGATCTAAAAGATGCTTACTAGCAAACTAGCAATCCCAGTATTGGGATTTTCTCTGCGGACGCAGTTACTGGTCCTAGGTGGAGCAGGTAGAGAGGCAGATTGGCTTCTGCCCTCCACAAGCTCACACTTCCGAGGACCTCGGGCCGCATGCTGCCGTCGTCAAGGCAACGACCTCACTCGGTCCCCAGCCATAGGCAGTCTCCAGAGAGAGGAAGGGCCCGTGTCAGAATTCGTCCACGACAGGCACGGACACCTGCACCTGTCAAGGCCAAGAGCTGCAGGAAAACCAGCTAGGGCAAGACACGGCCTGCCGAAAGCCCTGCGGTCGCTCAGCTCGGGAGAGCAGCACCACTCCAAGTAACCCTGGGCGAAGGCGTTGGCCAACCAGCTGCAAGGGGGCGGCTCTCACCCGCCCGGCCCGCCCCGCGTGCGCCGGAGCCTCCCTGATTCTGATTGGCCTAGCCCTGTCGTCATGCGCTATGATTGGCTCCGCTCCATCCCACCCCGCCCCTTCACCTGGAGCCCGCAAGTTCGGTCAGCTGACGCCCGGGTCGCCACACCTACAGTCTTAAGTTTGTAGGGACCTTTCTGCCAAAGCCAGGCTACCTCTGCTCTCAAGGGGTTGCAGGTTACTCGAGTGGCCACGCTGAGGGAGAAGGTGGCAGTTATGGGTGGACTGAGGAGACCATGAGATATCCAAGCTTGCCGACCTGGGGCTCGACGGAGCGCGGACCCCACCCAGGGGAGGTTCCGCCCAGCTGAGATTCCTCACTTCCTTTCGGTTCCGGGCGGTGGAGAGTTGACTAGTAGGTGGTTTAGCAGAGGCAGGTAAATGATGTTATTGGATAAAAGCCTTGACATTTTTGAGGCAGTGAGACTTTAAGTTTGCTTTTATTCACAATAGCCACACAATTTGTAATCATGTTTAGTTTCTAAAACAGCTCCATCCAGGGAAGTATCCTTGATAATAGGTATGTCCTAGCCGGGCACCATGAGATCATTCTTGCATAGTAAGGTGTAAGAACAATTGTTTTAGAATCCCCTTAGTTTGTTTCTGCAGTAATTTGCCTTAACCAAATTGCTGTAAATCTGGTTCCTCAGCCTACAATTTTGAGGAACACATCTGGGGTCTGGGTATGGAAATAGCATTTATTTATTTATTCAGATGTAGCAATGAGCTACAGATACATCCTCTCTCTCGTTCCTCTAGACTGTAACAAACCACATGGGCTTTTTAAAAAATATATTTTCATGTGTTCTCTGCCTGCAAGTATGTCTGAGCACCATGAGTGTGCCTGATGCCTACAGAGGCCAAAAGAGGGCATCAGACCCTCTGGAACTGGAGATCCAGTTTGTGCGCTGCCATATGCATGCCAGGAATCAATCAATCCTGGGTCCTCAGAAAGTGTCAAGTGTTCTTAGCCACTGAGCCATCTCTCTAGCCTCTCACATGAATTTTTATAGAATAAACTAAGGTTTGTAGGAAACATAAGTACTTTACCCGTTTCCTGCTTTACAAAAATAAACATTTTAAGGGTCTTTAAAGAGGCCCTGAAACGAACAGGTTATACTTGAGATCAAAGTTGGAAATAATTGTAAAGGAGATAGAGAGTATTAAAGTAAAAGTCACTTTGGGAACTGGGAGGGTAGGTTCAGAGGTAGAGTGCCTCCCTAGAATGCACAAAGCCCAACATTGTATAAAGAGGCATGATTGTTATGGCACAACACTGTAGTCTCAGCTCTCACAAAAGGTGGGGAGTGCCTTCTTGGCTACAAATCAACTCAAGGCCATCCTGGGCTACACAAGACACTACCGGGAAGAGAAGGAAAATGATATACCCTGGGTCAATCAGATTACTAAAGAGGAAAGAATGGAGAACAAGCTCAAGGGCAAGAATGGAGAAAATGAGGTGTAATACAAAATGATTAAACAAAGGAGGTAAGGAATAAGAAATAGTAGGGAAAGCCTGGTACCCACCTAGATAAATTCTAATGGCTAGGTGATAATTGTAAATAAGAGTACTAGAGGGAATGGAGGTAATGTGGACATAACACTAACGTAACGGGAACAAAGTAGAGGAGACAAAAAATTTGTGAAAGTCTTAAATGTCAATCTATTCATAAGGGTAAAAATTCAGGGGTGGCATAAAATAATCCATTCATAAGGATAAAACGTCAGTGGTGAAGACACACACAGCTCAGTAGGAAGGCCTCTGTCCAGCAATTACAAACGTCTAGCACTCCAAATAATAATAAAAAGGTGAAATATGTAGCTGAAGGTGAGCATTAAGTTTAGTTCAAAGAAGGAGACTGGAGTAAGGGGGAAAAAATGCCATTAACATGAACTACTCACAGTGGAAAGGCCATAAAATGGCACTTAAAATTAAAAATCACCAGAATAAGTGTCCTAAGGAAACCACTGTGGAGATGCCTGAAGGTAGACCCAGGTCCTCCAGAAATGACAACAAAGCAAAGCTGTAAACAGGCGAAGGAATATGTCGTCATGACAATTCCACTTCCCAATACACACCCAAGAGCATATATTTCCATAAGAAGCTTCTATTTAGATGCTTATAGCTGCACTGTCCACAGCAGCCAAGGGAAAACCCAAATGTCAGCAGAGAAAAATCTGTTAAGACTGAGGATGTAGTTCATCCCTAGCATTTTCATTCATTAGACAGTGGTCCTCAACCTGAGGGTCTCAGCCCCTTTGGGGTCGCACAACCCTTTCATAGGGGTCACCTAGGATTATCAGAAAAGTTATGAAGTAACAACCATAATTTTATGGTTGGGGTCAGCACATGAGGAACTGTATAACAGGTCGCAGTGTTAGGAAGTTTGTGAACCAGTGGGCTAGAGATACATGAGGAAAGGAAATGATCACTAATGGGTATAGGGCTCCTTCTGAGAAGCGACAAGAATATTCTAGACTTACTAGTGATGGTTACAAGACCTTGTTAAGTCACCAAGAGCACAGTTGTACACCTTGAACAAGGTGACTAGAAGCCAATGAGATGGCTCAGTTTGTAAAGATACTTGTCACCAACCCTAAAGACTTGATTGACTCCTGGTATCCATAGGGTAGAAGAAAACTGACTTCAAAAAGCTATCCTCTGATGTGAAAACATACAACACACACAAAAGATTCTTAAAGTGATTGTTAGGTATGTGAATTGTCTCAATTAAAAAAAAATGGAAAACTAAGAATCACCTATCTGCCCCAAGAAATACTTCTAGTAAATTTTTTGGGGGGAGGGGCGGGCTTTTATAGCCTGTCCTGGTTTGTAAACCAGGTTGGCCTTGAGCTCACCTGCCTCTGCCTTCCAAATGCTGGTATTCATAAGGGCACGAATCACCACTTCGAGGCTCAGTTCCCTCAACGAGATGGTTCTCGCTCAGCCACTACCTTCTACCTGCTGCCAGTCATCCAGGGCACATAACTGCCCCCTCTCCTATCCCAACAGAGGGTTTATTTTGTGCTGCTAATGAATCTATGAGACTTATATAAAAACTTATGCTGAAATGTAATCTCAAAGGACACTACACTTAGAGACTCCGTTAACTGTGCCACTCTCCTAATACTTCATGACAAGGAAAACTTACCCAAACCACTAGACTCTTCAGGGTCTGATTACACAAGTTGGCCAGTACTGACTCATTTGTCATTCTTTCACACATTTAGCACAACTGTCTGCTCTTTCCTCCTGATATCCTCAAAAGCAGTCTTTGCCCTATTTGGTGTCCCAGTATTCTCTGCACACCTGCACTGTGATCTTCAGAGACTTTGTAGCAGCTTACTATTCCGCCTCTTTGTACCCTTTCTGGGTGATCTCATCTAATACAAATGATACAAAAATACTCAACACAGTACTAGAATTATCCATGTGTATTGGCACACATCTTTAACCCAGGGACTCTAGATTCAGAGATAGATCATTAGCACTTAAGGACAACCAGGAGAAATCCTTCCTTAGCAAAGAGGGAGAAATAAGGAGTTACACATTCGATTGCTGCTTCATCCCAAATAACCCACATCTCCTATAAACTTGGACAGCTACAGTTGTTCCACTTGAAATGCTCTTCCTCTAGATTTTCAGTCACTGTTACTTTCCTATCTCTAACCCTTATAAATTAGGTTGCTGTGCTGTCAGAATTAACCTTATTGTAATACAAACTGTGTTCCTCACAGGGTTACTAAGTAGACACTGGATGCTATAAAGTTCTCTTCTGCACTCACTAAGCTCAGGTTGTTATTTGTACCTGCAGACCACCCAATGAGACTTTCTATTTTACAACCCACAATCTGGAACTAGAGCTGTACAAGCTGTATAAAGGGGCAGTAGAGAGCATTTAGTAGAAATGTGAGGCTCAGGAGATAAGGGGGCTCACTGTAAATCACGATTGTTTTACTTCCTTATATGGATATTATGTAAGAAGTATACACAATTGAAAGGGTTGTCAAAAGCAACCAGGAATATTATTTTAGAAAGATTGCAATGAGGCTGAAGAGCTGTTTTATAAGTTGGGTTCAAAGGTTAAAAGGTATTTTGGCCAAGGCTGAGCTCAAATGTCAGGGTAACAGATTCTCACCTCTGAACTGTTGTTAGCTTTATCATCCCCAGTCAGCAACATTCATTTACTTGTAAAATGGGTTAGACTGGGATAGCAATGACATGTTCATATATTTGAATGCTTTGTTTTTTTTTTTTTATATATATATATACCAAGTGTGCTAAAAGGAGTTCAAACTGTTCTCTCAATTGGGCTGTATGAATTACAACTGGGGAAAATGTGACGTCAGATCAAATTAGGGACATAGATAAATGCTGCAGACATCAGTAGTTTATTGTTTTAGTCCAAACACATTTAAAATGGAAACTCAAAGAGAATACTTTCCACCTGAAACAATTAAACTAGATTCTACCAGCATATAATGCTTAACACATTACAAAATAAAGATGGTAATCCGTTGTTTTCTATACCTACTAAAGCCAAGATGGTAAAGCCAATTTGGTTGCAATAGTGTCATAAGGATAGAATATTACCATCAAAAATAAAAATCAGCAAATAACAGTAATGGTAGATGAGTAATTTTTTAGTTTTTCACTGAAAAGGGACAAAATGTTAAAAGTCCACAGTACTGCGGGTGAATTAGTCACCATGTAAACTTCTCCATGTGATGTTTCATTTGTGGTATGTAAAGACTGAAGCTGAATGGCTCTTAGCTCCAATTTTATATTACACTTAACATCATCTCTTGTTGCCAGAACAGTTTATATGGGTTACAGGGCAATATCTTGGATTGAAAATGTTTTGTCCACGTGCTTCTATGTGTATTTGCATACACATACACACAGGAAGAGGAATAATAAAAGAAAAAGTATACTTGTGGGAAACCTCTGACAATAAAGCCACTTATTTCAAAGTAGTTTGGATAAAAGCTTCTAAACTCTAGTATGAACTTCAAGTACTGTACATAAGTGTAAAACTGTTTCAAACAAACAAAACCTTAGCCTTCCAAAATGGAAACTACAAAAATCTGTGTTCACAAAATATATGCAATAGTGCAAGACATTCTCAAACATGGAAGACCTCATTCAAAGGGGGAGACAATAAATTTTACCCATATTGCCCAGCTGACAAAAAAATAGTTAACTTAGCAAAATGTCCCAATAGTTAAGAACCAATTTGCTATCATGTCAAGTGTGTATTTTGCTTTCCTTAAGGTGGAATGGAGAAGTCTTCCATGTTAACTAACAAGCAGCTTTAAGTGGTCACACTTATTTACTCCGCTTCTTGCTTGAAACATCAGAAATCTGATATGGTATACACTGATTGTTCCAACCATAGAGCCAAATAACCTTTGCCATTTTGTGGTTTACTGGAACCTGTTATAAAGACAGACAATAATCCAGCAGCTAGAAACTTTGCTCACAGAATTGCTTAAAGATTCATGTAAAAATAATGAGATGTCGTCCCAGACTTAAATTCAGGAGCCATTCGGGTGCTGACATCAGTTCAAGAATTGTGCAAAATGAATGACAGTTCCCTGCCTCCCCAATTAAGAGCTGCCATTCTTTCCTCTGAAAATTGCAGTATCCTCAACTTGCCATTTTTGGGAATTTGACTGCTTTTAAAATGTGACTAAAATGTACATCAAGCTATTTTATTTTTCCAAACATTAAGTTATTTGATTTTTCCAAGTATTAATGTGATAACATCATTCACACTGGAGCTAAAAGTCTAGACTTAAACATCTGACTTCCTCCCATATAGATCATAGATGTTAACTGAAGAAAACAAGATAAATAAGCATCCATTTTACTAATCTTAAAGATACTGCAATTTTTATACATCAATGATTTTCTCCAACATTTTGCGGCTGTTTGGCTTCGCAGCACAGCAATTCATAACTACACTGCACAGGATCACCAGCAAAGACTGGAATGATGTGTTGTAGAAGGCACCATCATGCTCATTACATTACCAGAGAACAAAAATACAGGAAACGGTTCTCACTGTCCATAGCTTAAAGAAAGGAAAGGGGAAGGAGGAGTGTGTTGAGCAGCCAGCCATCCCTGTACTCAAGAGGGCAGGTTTGAAACTCCTAAATACGGAGCCACTAAATCTGGCCTAGCATTTAAGACCAGGGCATTGGAGGTTCTCATTTTTGTTATTCCGTTCATAACTAAATGATTTCCTTCTGGAATATTTGCAGTCTTGTTAAGGTATGTGTATGCACACGCTGGTCACAGCAAGCAGATAAAATGCCCTCATCATTTCCCAAACTATTCTCTACTGGAAAAGATGAAAGTTTTGTTTGTTTTTTCCCTGTTGCCTCCTGGTGCAGATGTTAATGACTTCAGAGTACCCGGATAGTGCATTTTGATGAAATGTTGGTTTGTATTGGGGGGAAGCCAAGAAAAAAAAAGGCAAGATTCTCCAATTGCACAAATTGCACTATTGGTGTTTCCAACATTAATAGCAGAAACAGTTAACACTTAAAACAAAATGTGCAGCAGAAGATTTTTTTTTTTTTTAGCTCAAATGACCTGAATTCAGTGGGCATGTTCTTTTAAGTTCATTTTGTTGTGGAGAGCTTAAGATACGGTCATTTCTCAGTCCTTAATTCTCCAAGTCTAGTTTTATAAATTAACTATGAATCCTGTTGTGAAATTGGGGGAATAAAGTCCACTTCAATTTAACTGATAACCAAAAGATGCTTTTCACATCAAAGAAATGATCAAAAAGGCTGTGTCACATTCCAAAGCCAAAAAAACTTAACAAGAATGCAAACACGATGAGTTAGGTAGGTACCACTGCCAAAAATCTTTGCGAACAGTGGAACTTCAACGACGCTGTCCGGTGAAGCGGCCTTCCATCTGCCCGGTTCCTCTTCCAGAACCAAGTTTCTGAGCCATGCCCCCTCGTGGAGGTGGTCCTCTTCCATCACGATCACGCATCATTCCACCACCCACAATTCCACGTGGACCGCCAGGACCTCGATCACTGCGCCTGATATCCCTGCGGTCGTCACCGCCACCTCTGGTTTCCCGCTCTCTGGCAGCTCTTGTTTTCTTCTCTTCTACATTTAAGCGCACTTCTCCCCGAAACATAATTGGCTTTAAAAGGAGAAAAGTGACAAGGCTGAGTTACCCAGGAATTGGCAAACATTAATTTGCTTAAGAAAATCTAAGAAATAAAAATTTTGGCCTTTTAGTCAAATGAAATTTACGATTATACAGGACAGACTGTAATATTCTCTTCACTCTTTGCATAAATACCATTTCATAATTAAATTAACTATTTTTAGGTTAGCATAAAATTTTTCTACAGTTTTAAGTTTCAATTCATACTATATACAAAGGAAAAACCTTGGATTATCCCACTTAAATCACTTACTTTTGCAATTAAGATTCTCTGAACTGGTTCAGGGTCATCAAAAACCACAAAACCAAAATTTGGAAGTTTTCCCCCAACACCCTTGGTATTGATGCGAAGTTCCACAACGTTTCCGAAACCTGTGAAAATTTACATTACATCAAGAGTTAAGTATTTTAACAGAACATTCTAGTTACTGTAAGTGTTCAGAATGAAAAACTATCATTTTCTGATTAGTCTGAAAAGCTGCTTTGCCAGGTTACAGTAGATTCTCTCAGGATGACTGTCATCTCAGACCCTAACTCCTCCTAACCAACTGCTTGCTATTGTATCCTCTTTCACGGGAAAAAGCTACCACTATTTCATCCCATCTCCTGAAGTAGATTCAACACTCAGCAGGCACTATCATTTTCATTTCCTCCCATCCCAAAAATTAAAGTTGAGTTTGAAAGCAGGTGAGATACAAACCCCTCCCCCCTTTTTTAAAAGTTTATTTGTTTGCTTATTACGCAGAGGTGGGTTGTAATCTATCATGTTCATGCTGGAAATTGAACTAAGGATCTCTGGAAGACCAGCCAGTGCTCTCAACTTCTAAGCCATCTCCTTTACTATATGGGCTTTACTATATGAAAAGAAATTACCTATTTCTCCCTTTTAAAACTGTATTTAAGTTCAAGAATATCATCTTTGAAGGGACATTTCATGCTGCAAGTTAGGCCAGAAGTGGAGCTGTTGTACTGAAAACCGTGGAGTCCTGTTGTCCACTTGGACAGGACACCCCCAACCAGTCCAAATTCTTTTGCTCATGGTGGGCAGGTCAGGACCACAAGGAAAAGACAGAGCCCTGGTGAGCACCTGTTTGTCTGACATAGGGTTAACAGTTACATTTTACATTTAATGTCTAATATATATAAAAGTAGACCACTTACTCATAAAAAATTCTTTCAGCTCATTTTCATCAATATCATGAGGCAAGTTGCCAACAAAAAGTTGATGACTATCCGGATAGCGAATTATTCTCCGGTTATCAGAGTCATTCTGTTCCATGTCTCCTCTGCCTGAAAGACAGGAAGGACACTAAGGCCAACAACATATGGACAGTAGAAAGCAATTGGGAGGAAAGTCAGTATTTATGGAAGGCACACACCAAGAGGCAGTGGCAGGTAGTTCTGAAGCAGGGATGAATGATGAGACCTTGTCTCAAAAACAAGGTCAATATTATATTCCTACTCCTTGAAAATGTGAAATGCATTCATAGGTGAATGCAGAGTCATGTGGATGGATATTGACTACTGATCTGACCAGCACTGAATGGACAGTTCGCTTTCACCCATGAAGAAAGCAGTAAAGAATGTTGTTACTAAATATCTCATTCTTTACACTTTACCACTTACACTTTGTATTTCACAATATTTCCTTTTTTGTGCCTGTTGCCTAAGGTACTATCACATATAAATCTTTATATTTGATTCTCTCAATAATAGCAACAATAGAGAGACATCACACAAAAAAGAACTTTGCATATCATGATACTAAATGTCAAAGCTCATTAATACATGTTACCACCAGGAACTCCTAAATTGAGGTTATCTACCTGCATGCAAAAATTCATTCTCTTTTCATGGTTCCCCCACCACCAAATGTTTCTCAGCCCTGGCTGTCCTGGAACACATTCTATAGACCAGGCTGACCTCAACCAAACACTAGACCACCTGCCTCCCAAATCCTGGTCGGAAGAGGACTTCCATATCCCTGACCAACTGCCAACTGCAGACAATTCTGACCTGCTATGTGCATGCTGAACCTTGGTCTTCTGGACGATCACCAGTAAGTACCAGTAAGCCTTCTTTCTTCTCCAGACTTCAGAAGCATTATAAATATCTCATAGATTTCAAATAACAGCACTACCATCTTAGCTAATGATGCCACATTTAAAGTACTTTTTTTCCTGAAGGAATAGCGGGTAGAGTAAGCTGGTTACCACCAGCCCAATTTAGAGTTCTTAAAGTCAGCAACAATCTCAGCAGATTGTATAGGGTTATAGGGACACACTGCTGAGATGGCCTTACACAGACCTGGGCTGGGTATGAAACCCAACAGTTTTTAAAGTATATTCTTTTCTTTTCCAACTTTCCAATAAACCTTGAAGAGGTGAGTTTACCTGGTCTTGGTCCTCGAGGAGGGAAACCAGGTCGTTCTCGAGGTCGTTGTTCACGCACCCTTGGTGGTTGAGATTGAACTTCTGGTTTAGCGTCAACCCTTGGCTAAAATATAATGGAAAAATTACAATTTATATTATAAAGAATAACTTCTACAGGAGAAAGTCCAATCACAGCATCTATTAGCAAGTCACTAACAAGGATGACATTAACTTTATGTTTATTGTACATAATTTCCTATGTGTATTGAATACATTTTATAAGATATTCTGTACCAAGGTACGACTGTAGGGTAGATCTTAATTTTCTCACTCAAGACTGTATAATTCACACTAAGCTGCTTTTGTATAACTCTTTAAAATTAAAATTATACTTGAAATGAAACAGCATTAAGTCATTGCTACAAAAAGAAAAATCACAAAATGCAAGATGAGCAACTCCATATACATACATAAGACAGAAGTTAAAAAAGCTTTCTAAATAATGACAATTCCTCAGTATCTAGCTTGCTCCCTTCAGCCATTAATGGCACTCATTCACATTTCCTAATCTTGAAACCAGTATTTTAACAGTTTGAACTCTTCAGGATGGTGGCAAGTGCCCATAATACCAGCACTCAGAGTCAGGAAGATCAAATATGAGTGACAGAGGACTTTCCTTAACTTACAGGACTCTGTCAGCTGCTGACTCAATATAAATAATGAAATCCCTTGTAAAGAGCCAAGGATTATGACTCAAAAAGACAAAACTAAGTGAATCTTCAAAGGATGTTGAATGCATTCAGCAGAATAGACACCCCCAGCTAACAGTACCTTAATCATTGAGGCCCTTGGTCTAATCAGTACTTTATTTTTCATTGGTTATATAACCGGTAAGTTATATGATCAAAACTGACCATTTAGATAAGGTATATATTAACTTTACAACATTAGTGTGGTTACTTAAAAGAGCTACCTATTTCTCACAGTCTGGTTCTCTTTCCTATGATATTTTCCCTGCAGATGATATCTCATGTCCTGGAATTTGCCTAGTCACAAAATTAATTTTGCTGGGTATGGTGGCACATCTCACAACTCGGGAGGCAGATTCATGGGTTCAAGGCCAGCCAGAGCTACCCAGATGATTTAGTTACCATTTTTTTGTTATAAAGCGCATCTAGCTATCTTTCTGTGTATGGGAGTGGGCAATCCTTGAGGACTGAATTTATACGCATTGGTGCTTTGCCTTCAAACTGAGCCAGCCCAGTTTGATCTTAAACTTGCAATGCTGCTCCCATTACATCCCACACTGCTGGGATTTCAGTGTGCATCACTGAAAGAACCAAGCACGGAGCTTCAATAGCACTCAGCAATAATTGGTTCATAATATCCTAACAATGAGGCAACTGCTGTAGGTGTGCAAGGGTTCAATAACATTCAACCTAGTATGTAATGCCTGGAAAAGGCATCTTTCGAAATGCATGCTTACCTCTACTAAAGGGAGTCTCAAAGCAAAATTTAGTACACTTTGTATTATCAATCAGAACTGAAGAACAAAAAATTTTTTATTTACTGGACATACATAATAAACACTCCACATGTGTGGTCCAAGTCTTTAATCCTAATAGCCTAGAGACAGAACCAAGTGGAATGAATTCAATCAACAACAAACTGGTCTGAGACCCTATCTCAAAAACAAAAAAATAGGGGGGAGCACTTGCTGCTCCTTCAGAGAACGCACATGGCTGCAAAATAAGTTCTCTACAATTCCATTTCCAGAATCTGAGGCCATATTCTGACCCCTAGTCACTGTACATACATATTTGGTACAGATATATACAGGCAAAACTATCCACTGAAACAAATGCCAACCAGGTCAGCTATGCTCTTCAGTCTGTTTAAAACTGGCCATTCCTAACAGATGAAATGTCTATTACCCGACATAGTATCAAGATATTCTATTTTACTTCATGTACCCAGAAATAATGACCTTCCAGCAAATCCTACAAATGAATGACAATATAAAGATGGTCAAATAAAAGCCATGATTATCAGCACATAAACAAGTTCTTCATCAACACAAGGAGACTATCTTATCCAGACTCCACCTACCTACCTCAGTATCCTAAAAGTATACTATCAGTATTTACCAAATAATCAACTCATGAAGAACTTATAAAGAAGCTGAAGGCTATTAGCCCAAGGGGGTGGAACAATCAATTTATTATACTGTTTTTAATTATGTGTGTGTATGTATATATGTGTGCGGGGGGGGGGGTTATGTGCCTGAGTGCCTACTGAGGCCAGAGGCATCAGGTACCCTGGAGTTTTAAAGGCAATGTAAAACTGGCTACATGGGTGCTAGGAACTTGGGTCCTCTTTTTTTTATAAAAAAAAAAAGCAATGTGTTCTTTACTACTCAATCTTTTATACATTATTATTAGAGTGTGAAATAAAACTTAAAAAGGGACTCTAGGATATATCCTAGAGTCTAAAATATAATCCCTTAAATATAGTACTTTGGTGTAAATATAGAAGAAACACACATTACCTACCCTCCTTTTTTAATGTCTGAAATTTCTATAACCTTGCTCTGGAGAGGGCAGGGCAAGGCCTCAAACCACTTCAAAACTGTTCTGGCAAGCACTATTGGAATGCACAGGGTCACTACAGACCGAAGCACGCTGGAGGCTTGCTAATGCAAGGTGATTTTAAGGACTCACCTTTCAATCCCAGTACTAGGTAGGGAAACAGAGGCAAGCACATCTTTGATTTCAAGGCCAGCCAGAACTATACACCAGACTCTGTCCCACCTCACCCAAAAGAAAAGTGAACATGCTGATCATAAACTGTTAGTGAAAGGCAAATGTAGTATTAAATACTTGTAAAATAACTGTTGGGCCTTGGCTGACCAATTGAGAGCACACTGTTCTTCCCTAACACAGGGTTTCCATCCTCAGCACCCATAGGGCGGCTCATCACCATCTACCTCTGCTTCCAGTCCCTAAGGAACCAACTGCCCCTCCTGGGGTGTGAGGGCACTGCATGCACAGGGTGCAAATATATACACCCAGACACACAAAATCCAATTAGTTATAAATACACCAAGTGTGACCAAATCCCAAACAACAACTCAATAGACTCCAACTGGGAATGTGACAGAAAAGTCCAAGGAGTAAATCATCCCTTCTCCAGGTGGGTTTAGAAGGCAATAATCACCAGGGTGGAAGTTTTGGCTTGTGATCAAATATAAGTACATTTAACTGGAAAAAAAAAAATCACAAAGGTATTATGGTAGCATGTATGTTACAAATGATATGTAGAGACATTATGAGGACAAGATTATCACTACTTTTAAAACCTCAATGTCTTAGTGTTAGAACATCTAAAGAATGCATACAATCACCATTTTAAATGTAAATATTCTAGGAAAATGAAGCTCAACTCAAAATATAAGGGAAAACTGGACATTGAAGTATGCCAATAAGCTTAATTCAAATTTAAGTTTTATCTAACAAGCATTAATGTCTTATTTTCATAGTTTTGGAAAGCTTTGAAATGATAAGATGACAAACAGACAAAAAGCATATTGAAAGTTAAGGTGAACACTACAGTCATAAGTTGGTACTGGCTTCAATTAAATTGTGTGAATCACTAACAGACTGAGTTTAGGCCATGTAAATATATATAATATATACATGTATGATATATATTATATACATATACACACAATTTTCTACTTTAAAACAATTTATATAAATGTCATTCTATTTTGTGCCTTAAATTTCTTACCTAAAATACTTTTGCTAAGATGTAAAAATTTTCAAAAGGAGTATTTTTAAAAGAAGCCTTTAAAATGACAACATAATGTTAATAAACCAACTTAATCTGTATTACACACCCAAACCCCAAATACCACCTCTGTAAGATTAATAGAGTTTTGGCATTTAAAGTGGGTGTATTGACATTTAAGACATTTTGTTCACTCAATTAAAAAGGTATAAAGACTAAGCAATTGGCAAATGTAACAAGGATACAATCCAATGTGTTCACAGATCATTACCTGTGAGACTGGTGCTTTAACATGGGGTGGAATTCCAGAGGAAGAAACAGTACCACTAGGAGGCAGGTTTTTACTGGTCACTGAAGCCCAGGAGAAAGCCTGCAGGAAATGCAACAAACCTAGACTACTAATCATGGAAAACCACCAACATTCCTACAGGGAAACTTCCAAATACATAATCTCTTTTCATTTCTAATCTGTTTCCTTTATATTGAAGGACTCCTAAAAGAAAAGGCACACACACACATGCCAGTCTGTGTGCCAGCACTCATCAGTATGCAAGATACAACTGTTTTGTCTCAACTGCTAAATAAAACCACACCAAGTTCCTATATAAGCAGGTGGCAAACAAAACCACTATCAACTAAACATACTGTAAAATCTGAACCAGATAGAACTGACTTCTTCCCCCTTTTTGGAGAAGACCAAATATGAGGGATGCTGGTTGGGGGGCGGGGGGGGGGAACAATAGAAGAGAACACAGCACTAGTTGGACACTTAACAGACACTTACAAATTGAACAAGGACTCTTCTACTCTCTGCCCAAATATACTTTAACCTTCTACTCAGAGGTAAAGAGGTTTAACATGGTATGTACTATGGGTGTCACGAATCTCCCATAGAATTTGTATATATAACTGAGCCCATTTAAATCGCAAACAGGTGGTATCTTTCACAGATCAACTTCAGCTGGGACATTGCATGACTCCTGCCTGGAGCATCACAAGAGATGAGCAACTGAAAGCCTCATACATGGACTTGAGTCATCTCATGTAAGTCAGCACTGCATACAGACGAGTAATCTTAAGTCATAAATTCATACTTTTGGGGTAGAGAAAAACCATGAACTCTCCCCAGAACAAAAACTCCAGGTTCTTTCATATACATTAAAGTATAGCTTACTATATCAAATAACAACCAAAAACCCTGCTTTATTATTAATGGCACCAGGCATGAAACCTGAGGTTACAGGTCTGAAAAGTCCCTGTGGCCTCACCTTGGGTGGTTCTGGAGGGAGAGAAGCAGGCTCAGAGGGAGGTGGGCTAGCAGACTTCTCCTCTAGCTCTTCCAAGTTCTTCTCCTCCAACTGTGGTTTCAGCTCTTCTGCCTTTACTTCAGACTCCGGCTCAGGCTCAGGTTCATGAGAGGGGTCTTCTAAAGGTTCCTCTATGCCATTACTAGAATGGAAAATCTAGGTCACCAACTAGGAGATTAAATGACATGATGATGTTCGCACACAGTCCTGCCTGCTGTGCACCTACTAGCAAAATGGCACCAGAGACATCCAGTGAAACTCATCTTTCTGCTGCTTTTGGTTTAGAGATTTCACCATGCGTCCCGCAAAATCAGTAAGATCCAAATACTTCCTTCAGTGTATCATCACATCCAGACCCAGCAATTCTTAAAAATGGTTTATATTTCTGTACCTAGGAGTGTTTTGCTTACATGTACATGTGTGTACCTCTGTAAGCCTCTGTAAGCCAGAAGATGACATTAGATTCCCATGTATAGGGATATAGATTGCCATGTGGGAATCTCTCAGGACCTCTGTAAGAGCAGCCAGTGCTAATGGCTGTGCCATCACTACAGCTACAACATTTTAAAACTACATACCCAAAACTGCTTATTTTAATACAACTATAAACCCTGTGCTTTTTTTTCTAGTGTGTGATGGGACAATGCATGATGGCCACAGGACACCAGGCCTGCAGGGTAAGCATCTTCCTGACTGAACCACCTCTTTGTCCCCTACATGTCATGTGTCATATAAAAAGTTTGTATGACATACATTCAATGTATTCTCCCTAAACAGTCTGCATTATTTGTAGACAAGGACAGCTCAAATACAAAACCATGTGGAAATTTTTGAATTAATAATTTTCAGGATCTTGATATATGTCCTAAGTAACCAAATACTGGCTTAACATTTTTAACAAATATGTATCTCCAGGGGCTTAGAGTATAGTTTGTTTGGTGGTTAAGTGCATACTTAACATGCATTATTAAGGTGAGGTTTGATACCTAGCACCAAAGAATAAGCATTAAATTCCAACAATGATAATCCTAGAAACTATAGTTAGGTAAGTGCAAATGCAGCCAGAAGCTGCTAGCTAGCCTTACGTCACAGGAATAGAGTCATAGTAAGCGTTGTTAGCATTCTCTTGAGCAGGTTCAGGAGATGGCTGCCTTTCTTCTTGTTCCTCTTCCACTTCATCCTCCGATTCTGACAATACATAAGGCATATCTCACACACTAATGATGGCATGTTTAAGCATAAGATAGAAGACTGACAAAGGCAGTCATCATTCACTGGGATACTCCCTGCTCCCCACAAACTAAAGAGATCAAGCAGGATCAAGTTTGATTACTATGCTCTTTTAACAAGATCAATTTGTAAAGAAAAAGCATGCAAGGAAGCTAAAAACCATTTCACTTTGTTTCTGTTGCCACAGTGGAAGGAAGATCAATACACAACTAAAGACAGGCAACAGACAGTAAGGGAAGATAGGTTCTATGGCACTTAGTTCATTTTGATAAAAGTGCTTGTGTCCCCAAAACTATATACAGTATAGCATAGAATCTAAACACACATCACCTTATAAACTCACCTTCATCAAGTTCCGGTTCAGAATCAAATACTTCATCTTCATAACGAAACATATCATTGTGAACGTAAAATTTATTGGGAACAGATCCCTACAGAAAAACAATCTCAACTTTAGAACACAAAAATAATCTGAAATTATCTGGAGCACGTTATGATGTAAACACAAAAGAAAACTAAAAAAAAACCACCAAATGAATACTCGATGAATGAATGAATGAATGTGGTGGCAAACGTAATTCCTCCATTTGGAAGATTGAGAAAGGAGGATGGTCACGTGTTTTAGGCCAGCTGAGCTACAGAGATGCTTATTAACAATACACATATGAAACATCAAAATAAAGCCCAGCATCATGTACATTCATTCTAATGCTTAAAAATTAATTCAAAAACAGTAGCCAGCTGACTGCAGAGATGGCTCAAGTGGTTAAGAACACAGGATGCTTTAAGACTCAGGTTCAATTCCCAACATGGTAGCTCGTGACTTCATATATCTCCACGGCCAGACTCACACCCATACATGCAGGTTAAGAACCAAATTTGAAAGGGCTAGAGAGATGGTTCAGAGGTTAAGGGCACTAGCTCTGCTCTTATAGAGGACCAGGATTTGATCCTATGCTAAGTAACCATCAGTTCCAGGACATGCTCTCATTTGGCCTCCAAGGGCATACACAAATAAGGAAAATTCAAAATGTTATAATTTTAAAAAAGAGCAACAAGCAAACCCAAACCTATAGGAAGAAGCTACTTAGCATTCTAACAAACTACATACATTAATAAACCACGCAAAGAATTTTGAGAACTTACTTCTGGAGCCAGAACAAAGGTCTGCATGAACTTCCTCTCGGGCTGCCCACTGTTAGACAGCAAGCCCATAACCTGCACAACTACGCCATCGCTCAAGGTTGCGTGAGCATCCACATGACGAATCTTCGTATGACATTCACTGAAGTTCAGAGATAACACTTTGTGGTGTATATCCTTTACAGAGACAAGAGGTGAAGAAAACTTTTTGTGCCACCACACTACACATTACTCTTCCTCATGACCTAAAAAATGAACTACTGACTTTCCCAATAATTTGAATCCAATCCAGAAAACTATGAATTACAATCAGACTGCCTGTTAACTGCCATCTTTACTCTCTACAGGAAATTGGAATGCATTGATCCTGTGTCATAGTCTGGCTATTATTGCAGCTTTCCCCTCCCCTCTGCACTAGGCTCATTCTCACAAACTGTTAACAACTGCCTTCTGACCTCATTATCTGTTTGCTGATGCTGTCATCTACATCTAATTTCTTCCTGTTTGCTAAGGCTCAATCCTGGAGTCCAACCAAAGTCCTAAATCCCTGAAGTCTACTCTTCCCATCAAGCTTTTGTTTGTTTATTTCTCTTTGGAGCCTGTAGACCAGGCTGGCCTCTAATTCGGAGATTTACCTGCTTCTGCCTCCCAAGTGCTAGGATTAAAGGCAGATGCCACCACCCCCAGAGCCCTATCAAGCTTTAAAGATTATTTTGCACAAGAAATTATTTTCAACTACTTCACATATAAAATGACATTGTTCTCCTTTTAAATCTATCCCATTATAAAATGTTTCTACTAAAATTGACTCTGTACCACACTAGAGAAAGAAACCGAGGGAGTTCAGAAATCCTCACTTAATGCAAAGACACTTGAAAGTTAATTTTGACTTACATTTTGGCCATAAACTGCTTCCTGGGGCTTTCCACTGGCATCCACTCCGCCATGGACATAGGAGGAATTCCTGCCATAAAACCTGCAAAACCAATGACATACACATCAAGTTTAGAGGAAAATCAGATGAAGGGGACAGTACTACTTCTATAAATGCTGTTAAGGATTAATACAGTCAATGCTCACAGCAAGGCAGATGCTCAATTCACTTGCCTTCAGTGAATTAACTAAGGTGTATGAATGACTGGATGAGAAGGAGCGCAAGTACTGAGAAATTTGTCTTTCTCTTAGGTTTATGTGTATGAGTACTTTTCCTATATGTATGCATGAGCCTGCCTGGTACCCTAACAAGTCAGATGAGAACAGAGGATCCCAAGAGACTAGTAACAGATGGTTGTGAGCTGGAATGTGGGTGCTCTTGCCCTCTCCACAGTGCTCTGAACTGCTGAGTCATCCTCCAACTCAAAGGAAAAATGGTTAAATAAGCTAGATAGAATACCTATACCATTTTTCCTTCTTGCAAAAAAAAATTATTTGATGAATATGCGTGCATGAGAATATCAGAAGACACATGAAGAGCTGCCTTCCACATTTATGATAGAACTCAGAATTTGCTGGCAAATTCTGCTACCCACAAAACCTTGTTAGCCAGTCAGTAGTGGCACATGCCTAATCCCAGCACTTAGAAGCAGATCTTTCAGTTAGAAAACAGCCTAGTGTATGTAGAGTGGGTTCCAGGACAGGGCTGTCACAGAAAAACTGTCTTAAAAAATAAAATTTAAAAATCCTGTTAGCTCTGCTCCGTTCTTTCCCTACTAAAAAAGAAAAGAGAAGGGAAAAAGGGGAGGAAAGTGGGAGAAAAAAGGCAGAGAGAAAAGGGCACAGGCTAACACCCAGAAAAGCTGAAACTTGCAAATTGCCATGTCTGGCTAGCCTTTTAATTCAAGGCTAGCCAGAACTACAGAGATCTTATTAAAATGAAATCTTTTAGTCCCAGCTCTGGGGAATGAGATGTGTACAGAGCCAGGTGGATCCTGAGTTGGGGACAGGCCAGTCTACATAGTGCTGCTAGTTGCAGATCAGCCATACCCATAGTGAAACCCTGTCTCAAAAACAGTAACAGAAGTCCTAATAATCCCATCCTCTACCAAGTATCACTCACAGCCACACCCTCCCCCCCCCAAAAAAAAACCCTCTGTATTCTATGAGTTTCCTGAGTGCCACCAACGCCCAGCAAATTACAATATTTTATATGCCTCATGTTTCAGCACAATGCTGAAGCTCGGACAATGGCCATCTGTAGTTTACTTTTCCTAGAAAGATAATGAAAGTCATTAGAATCAGCTGTCAAAAATGATAACCAAAGTATTTACATTAAGACCAGCATAAAATTGACATGGGAAATACAGAAAGGGAACCCAGCAACAGAAAATACAATCCTCTAGAAGAGAGGATAGCAAGCAGTATAATCTGTCTAGTCTGCAGCATCTACCTAAGACCAATGTGTGTACTCTCAGCTGTTCTATGGCATCCTAACACTTTTCAGCTGTCTCCCTTATCTGTATTTCACTTGCACAAGTACAGTCAAAAGGGAAGGGACTTGGCAAGAACTACATACTACACACATTTACAGGCTATTAATGTCTCACAAAAACTATTTCAGACAAGAAATTCAATAACACGTGGCCATAAGTAATGTCTTGGTTTTACCTGTGTAAATACTCAGGAGCTTTATTCAGCAAAGTATAGTATTGCCTCACGAACTCCCGCCCCACAAGCAGCGGACTGGGTTTCTCCATCACCATTTCTTTGCTGCCCAATGTGAAATGCTGGGGGAGAAAAAAGAAAACAGCTCTTAATACTTGTAAAAGTCCATCAAACCAGAATAATGTAAATTAACAGCCTTCAAATCAACCGCCAGGTGGTGGTGTTGTGTATGCCTTTAACTGCAGCACTTGGGAGGCAGAGACAGGAATTCAAGGACAGCTAGAGCTACAGATAAGCCTGTCTTGAACAAAACAAAAAAAATATTAATAAAATTAACAGTAGATTTTTTTTTAGCCAGGCATTAGTGGTACACAACCTTTAATCCCAGCACTGGGGAGGTAGTGAGCCTAGTCAACAGAGTGAGTTCTAGGACAGGCTGCAGAATACAGGAAACCTGTATGTGTGTCTGTGGACAGTAGATTATTAACAGGCTAGAAGATTGCTTAGCAGTTAGGAGCATTGCCTACTATAACAGCTGGTTCCCAGCATCCACATAAGGTACACACACAACCATGTAACTTCCAGGGAATCCCGCCTCCTTAGTGCAGGCAAACATAAGACAAAAAAAATGCAACTTATTGTTTACTTTATACATTTATACAGCCCTCTGAGCAGTCTAATTATAATTAACATTAAGAACAGGAACTGTGGCTGCAGATAGATGACTTGTGCTGTTCTTCCAAATGACTAGAATTGATCAGCACCCATGCTGAGTGGCTCATAAATTTGTGCCTGTAACTCAGTTTCAGGGAATCTGAACCTTTAGTCTTGAAGGCACTGATACAAAAAACACATGATTAAAATTGGTCTTGCACTGGAGAATGCTCAGCAGCGCCTGTGAAGGACCAAAGTTCAGTTCCCCTGCTGTCACAAGGTAGCTCCCGACCATATTTCAGAGGTACTATGAACACATGTGCTACACATAAATACAAGCAGGCCCAAACACACATACAAATAAGAAAGGGGCAGAGGTATGTGAGGGCTCAGGAAGTCAAGGTTTGTCTGACCTGAGCTTAACTCCCCAGGACCAACATGGTTGATATAACTGACTCCCACTTTGTCTTCTAAACCCCACAAAGACAGAACACTACTTGTCTCAAACACTTCTTGTTTTTAAAAAAAAAAAAAAAGTCTGCAATATGGCTGGCAGTGCCTCACTGGTATAGCACACACTGATTCCAAGAAATAGCCCTGGGTTCAATCATAAGCAACAAAATACTTGTGTTGATCAACAGACAGACACATGAACACACAGCCGAACACAACTTGAAAGGATACTTGGCTCTATTTACTTATGTGCATATGTGTATCCATAGCGACCAGAAGAGGGTGTCAGGTGCCCTGGAGCTTGAATTACAGGGGGCAGTAAACTAGGAGTGAGTGGCAACTAAACTTAGAACCTCTGGAAAAGCAGAAAGCACTCTGATCTACTAAAGTCATCATCTCTAACTCCCCTCCATTATTATACTTAGAAGTAAAACAAAACAAACCTCCCATCTTAGTGTAATTAGGCAAATCGAATGCTGCCTGAATTCCTAGTTAACAAATTTCAATTCAGATTTCATGCCACAATCAGCACACTAGATTGCTGTTTTAATGAGTGTCAAATAGGGACAACAGTGGAGCAGAGGTTAAACTCAACTTCGTTCTAATTAGTTGCTTCTTCCTCTGTATATGTAGTCCTGGCTGACCAGATCCACCTGCCTCTACCTCCTGAGTGCTGGGATTAAAGACATGAGTCACCTCCTATATTATAATGCAGAAATAAATTTTTAAGCTATGAGGCTCAGATCTCAAAACTGAGGCACTTGAAGTTGTCCTGAGTTCAGGCCAGCATGGACTAGAGGGAACCCTGTATTTTTTTTCCTAAGGTTTATTTTATATGTTTTGCTCACCATGCATGTCTGTATACCACATGCATGCCTGGTACCCATGAAGATCAGATTAGGGCATGGGAGCACCTGGAACTGAGATTTTAGGAACAGTTGAATAACCATGTGGGTGCTGGGGATTGAACCTGGAAAGTGCTCTAAAGTTCTGAGCCATCTCTCTGAATTCCTGTATGTTATTGTTATTAACTTTAAGTGGGAACTAAAAAAATCAAAGCATCAAGGCAGCAGACAAGTCAGTCACAATTGAGAAGCTTCTTCCATCACCACCATGAAGCAAACTTTTTTTATGCACTTTCAAAAGATGGAGAGGAAATCTATAGGCTACAGCCTATGGTGTCTAAATGTCATAAAGTATACAGTAGCTTGGAAATTCTTAAATTTCAAGGGGGGATCCAAGGCCCTCTTTTAGTCTCCCTGAGAACTAGGCATACACATGAACTAGATATACACGTGAAACATCCATGCTTAAAACTAGACATACCAGCAGTCTGATTTTGAAGCCAGCTACACCTACATAGTGAGATCTCTTAAAAGAGGGGAAAACTTTGAAAAAATATGGTAGAATATGAAGATTGCATGTATAAAAAGTGAGTAGGGGGTTTTAGATAACTTGCCTAGTGTGAGGTCCTGTTCTCCAACCAAGTCGTGGAGAGATGAAAATTTATTCAACATTACTGGGTTTTGCAACAAACTCTAGTTGAGTGGCCTTGAAAACCCATAGGATTCTTCTGATAGGCTGCCTACACCCTGGGATTAGGTAAAACCATCATGCTTAGCATAATACCACTACCCACAGCAATAGTAATGTAGTTCTGTATGACACAGGAATGTTTAATAACTTAATTCTAAAAATTACTTAGCAAAGTAATTACTTAAGAAGTTGAGATGGGAATATGCTGGGATAATCAGTTATGTAGAAAATAAATAAGGAGAGGGTAGCTGGGCGTGGTGGGGCACACCTTTAATCCCAGGGAGGTAAATTTAGGCAGAGGCAGGCATCTCTCAAGGCCAGCCTCATCTGTAAACAGGCGGGGCTGCTTTCTATGCACAGAAACCCACCCCATGCTGGGAAGGAAACAGGACAGAAGCTCTGCAGAAATGGCTTGGTTTTAAGAGCTGGCTTGGTTTTAAGAGCTGCCTCCCTCTCTCCATGTTCTTACCACTATGGATACCATTTTGTCACCAGGAGTGACAATGGCTAGCTCTGTTTGAAAGTTTCCCATTTCAGAATGTTCAGCTTTCAGACTATGCACTGGTCACAATCTACAAATCCTGAAAGTCCCAAGTGCTTTCATACAGGGTTCAATGCCACTGACCTTCAATTTCTGATGCTACTGTCACCAACTGAGAAGGGGATCCTAGTAAACCATCAACAGTTACCAAGAGCTGGCAATCCAACCCTTTAAAACCACCAACACAATAAAAGGAAAGTTCATTCACTGCATAAAATTTCATGCCATCTTTTGATGGTTATTTCAGTGCTTAGAGAGAATAGGCAAGAGAAATTTTTGAAGAAATCATTAAAATTTTTTCATAAGGACAAAACTCCTATATAAGGAGAAATGCAGACAAAACTGCCAACCTTGGCAGGTTGCACATTAATTTTATTCATGGAAAGAGTGTCTCCAACCAGCTATGGCCTGTTTACCAGACACTGCTATCAAAGGCTGCCCATGCTTAGCCCCAGTTTATATCTCCATGCCAGGATGCTCACTCCCACTCCCTCTGAAGGGCTCACACCTAGGCCAACTGACCCAAAGGCAGATCCCAAAGGACAGAACCTAAAAAGCTGAGTAAATGGTTATGCGGCCACCACTCCCTTCTGAGACAAGGTCTGGGATTAAAGGGGTGTACATGCATGCCCAGCTGCACTTTGTGCTTTATAGTTTGAGTACCCTGTTTCCTTGTATCTCCTTGAATAGGAAGTATTGGCTTCATTTACAGAAAAATGACTTAGCTGGGGGCATTGGGCCTTTTAATCCCAGCACTTGGGAGGCAGAGGCCCAGCCTGGTCTATAGAGTGCCAGGACAGGCTCCAAAACAAGAGAAACCGGGCCTGGAAAAAAAAAATGAAACACTGTCTTTGTTTGTTTGTCTTTGTTCAAGGAACAAGAATTTTGTTGTCATTAGTATGAGGTTTTCATTATTTACAGCCAAAATTTGCTTTGGGGCCAGGTGTGGTAGTTTACACCTTTAATCCCAGTTCTTAGGAGGAATCAGGGTTGAGCATAGCCATTTCCTCATGGTTTGTCATTCTTATTTCTGATCTTCAGTACCTGCTTCCTTATCTTATGGGTTGCTTCACCAACACCTATTTCTCTTGTGTATTCTTGGATCCAAGGTCTGGCACAACAAATGATCACTTAATTCAAGATAAACATGGTCTAACAGATCAACTGTTGGGATTATATCAACTGTTGGGATTAAAGGTGGGAGGCTAGCACCGCCCGGCTGCCTTTCCTTTAGATTCTTGACAGCAATTTATGTTGCATAATTACCCATTAGGTATTTTTTCCTATCTTATAGTGAATGAATATGAAGATGATTAACATTTACATTGAAGCATAAATTGGATTGCTTCTAAAATGGGTAGAATTTGGTTGATTTATGCAGGGTGGTAAGATCCAGGATGGTCAGGGCTACTGAAAAACCTGTCTCAAAAAAAAAAAACTAAAGGCATTATTACATGTATCTATAAATTTCCAGTTATGAAATTAGAACTTGACTAACAGTCCAACTACTTTGTCATTATAGACTAAATCTGCAGGAGGTTCACAGGTCAATGGCTGTCCAGATGTAGCATGGCCTCTCCACTGAAGTGAATGGTAGCAGGATCAGGTATCCTGGTGCTTGAACCTGAAGGGCAGGAGCTTACCCATTTGAGTTACTAATGGCATCATTACCCAATGGCATCATCATCTGCTCCTGGTAACCACCCCCCCAATTCCACATCTTCTACTTGCTTTCACCAACACCGGGTTTTCTCTGTGTAGCCCTGGCTGTCCTGGAATTCAACTCAGGCCAGGCTATCAACTTTGCCCCTGAAACTCGATTTTAAGTTGTGGACACCCCCCACCCTGCAACATTCTGAAAGTTCAATAACCTAAATCACCAGTATACACATCTCATGCCCTCCTAACATATTTTTCATGAGATAACTTGTATGCACT